TTTTTTTAAATATTTATTTTTCAGTTTTCGGCGGACACAACATCTTTGTTTGTATGTGGTGCTGAGGATAGAACCCGGGCTGCACGCATGACAAGCGAGTGCACTACCGCTTGAGCCACATCCCCAGCCCCAATAATATATCCTTAAATGGTTCATAAAATAGGGAGCAGGAGAGAAGAAAGGACAGAAGGAGTGTGATGGAAAAATAGAGAGATGGGAGAGGAAGAGGAAAAGGAAGAAAGGAAAAGGAAATGAGAGAATAAGAGGAGACAAAGAGAAATTAAACAAAGATGCAAAAGTGTTAATAATCAGTGACTATAAATAAAGGGTACATTTGAGTTGTTTGTGCTATTCTTGTAACATTTGCACATGTTTGAAATTATTCACCTACAAAAACTTTAACTTTAAAACAAATTTGTTCAAGATCACACAGCAAAAAAGAGAGAACTAAGATTTAATTATGGATCCAAAGACTTTAACCTCTATATTTCTACTGTACTCTCATTAAATTACCATTGAAGTAAAGATTACAGTTTTAGGATAATGCTTTAACTTCTTTATTTACTTTAATTTTTAAGAATATATCTGAACATGCCTGTTCTTTGTGTCCTTGCTGTACCTGTCAATTAGTTCAGCATTTCTATTGTAATTAAACAAATCCTGATTTTACTGGATATGTTCAATTTAGTCATAATATATAATCCCTTTAAGATGTTGCTAGCTTTATTTTTAAAAATTTTTTATTTTTTATTTTTGCTGAGGAATTATTTACACCAATATTCAGGGGGATAATTTGTATATAATTTTCTTTTAATGTGATGTCTTCCTTCTGGTTTGTTATAAGGCTGACACTGGCCTCAAGTAATTAGTTATGAAGGTGTTTCCTCCTCCTATTTTATAGAAGAGTTTTTGAAGGATTAGCATTATTTCTTTATAAATTTTTTAATTATAATTTGTTATGTATGACAGCAAAATGCATTACAATTCATATTACACATATAAAACACAACTTATCGTGTCTCTGGTTGTATACAAAGTATACATTCGTGTCTTCATACATGTACTTACGGTAATGATGTCATCTCATTCCACCAACATTTCTAACCCCATGCCCCCTCCCTTGTCCTTCCACCCTTTTGACGTATCTAGAGTTCACTTACTCTTCCCATACACCCCCCTCTCAACCCCACTATGAATCAGCTTCCTTATATCAGAGAAAAATATTCGGCATTCAGTTTATGGGAATTGACTTACTTCGCTTAGCATGATATTCTCCAATTCCATGCAGTTACCTGCAGATGTCATGATTTTATTCTCTATTATTGCTGAGTAATATCCCATTGTGTGTATATACACATTTTCTTTATCCATTCATTTACTGAAGGGCATCTAGGTTGATTCCACAGTTTAGCTATTGTGAATTGTGCTGCTATAAACATTGATGTGGGTGTGTCCCTGTAGTATGCTGTTTTTAAGTCTTTGGATATAGACCAAAGAGTGAGATAGCTGGGTCAAAAGGTGGATTCATTCCCAGGTTTCCCAGGAATCTCCATACTGCTTTCCATATTGGTTGCACCAACATGCAGTCCCATCAGCAATGTATGAGTGTGCCTTTTTCCCCACATCCTCACCACTACTTACTGTCATTTGTATTCTTAATAGCTGCCATTCTGACTGGAGTGAGATGAAATCTTAGTTTTGACTTGCATTACTCTAATCGTTAGAGATGTTGAACATTTTTCATATATTTGTTGAATGATTGTGTGTCCTCTTCTGAGAAGTGACTGTTCAGTTCTTTGGCCCATTTATGAGGTTATTTGTTTGTTTGTTTGTTTTTGGTGTTTGGCTTTTTGAGTTCTTTATATACTGATGTGCAAGTGGTAAAAATTTGCTCCCAAGCTGTAGGCTCTCTATTCATCTGATTGTTTCTTAAGATGAGAAGAAGCTTTTTAGTTTGAATTCATCTAATATATTGATTATTGATTTTAATTTTTATGCTATAGGAGTCTTATTAAGGAAGTAGGGGCCCAATCCAATATGATGGAGATTTGAGCCTAGTTTTTCTTGTATTAGATGCAGAGTCTCTGGTTTAATTCCTAGGTCCTTGATCCACTTTGAGTTGAGTTTTGTGCATGGTGAGAGAGAGGGTTTAATTTCATTCTGTTGCACATGGAGCTCCAGTTTTTCTAGCATCATTTGTTGAAGAGGCTATCTTTCTCAAATGTATATTTTTGGCACCTTTGTCTAATATAAGATAACTGTAATTATGTGGGTTTAGTCTCTGTGCCCTCTATTCTGTATCATTGGTCTACTAGTCTGTTTTGGTGTTAATACCATGCTGTTTTTGTTACTATTGCTCTGTAGTATAGTTTGAAGTCTGGTATAGTGATGCCACCTTCTTCACACTTCTTGCTAAGCATTGTTTTAGCTATGCTGGGTTTCTAATTTCTCCAGATGAATTTCATGACTGATTTTTCTATTTCTATGAGTAATGTCATTGTGATTTTGATTGGAATTGCATTAAATCTGTATATTGCTTTTGGTAGTATGGTCATTTTGATAATATTAATTCTGCCTATCCAAGAGCAAGGTAGATCTTTCCATCTTCTAAGATCTTTTTTTGATTTCTTTCTTTAGGGTTCTGTAGTTGTCATTGTATAGATCTTTCACCTCTTTCATTACGTCAATTCCCAAGTATCTTTTTTTTTAGGTTGTTGTAAATGGGGTAGTTTTCCTCATTTCCTTCTCAGAAGCTTTGTCATTAATATACATATTTGAGTTATGGGTGTTGATTTTATATCCTGTTACTTTGCTGAATTCATTTATGAGTTCTAAAAGTTTTCTGGTGGAGCTTTGTGGGTCTTCTAGATATAGAATCATATTGTCAGCAAATAGTGCTAATTTAAGTTCTTCTTTTCCTGTACATATCCCTTTAATTTCTTTTCTATGTCTAATTGCTCTGGCCAGTGTTTCAAGAACTATGTTAAATAGAAGTGGTGAAAGAGGGCGTCCCTGTCTTGTTTCAGTTTTTATAGGGATTGCCTTTAATATTTCTCCATTTTGAATAATGTTGGCCTGAGGCTTAGTGTAGATAGCTTTTATGATGTTGAAATATGTTCCTGTTATCCCTATTTTCCTAGTGTTTTGAAAATGAAGGGGTGCTGTATTTTGTCAAATGCTCTTTCTGCATCTATTGAGATGATCATATTATTCTTATCTTTAAGTCTATTGATGTGATGAATTACATTTATTGATTTCTGTATGTTGAACCAACCTTGCATCCCTGGAATAAACCCCACTTAATCATGGTGCACAATTTTTTGATATGTTTTTTGTATTCAATTTGCCAGAATTTTATTGAGAATTTTTGTATCTATGTTCATTAGAGATATTGGTCTGAAGTTTTCTTTCTTTGATGTGTCTTTGCCTGGTTTTGGAATCAGGTTGATATTGGTCTCATAGAATGAGTTTGGAAGTGCTCCTTCTTTTTCTATTTCCTGAAATAAATAAAGGTCTTGTAGAATTCTGCTATATATATCTAGTCCTGGGCTTTTCTTGGTTGATAGGCATCTGATGGTGTCTTCTATTTCATTTCTTGAAATTGATCTGTTTAAATTGTATATATCATCCTGTTTCAATTTGGGTGAATCATATGACTCTAGAAATTTTTCAATGACTTCAATATTGTCTATTTTATTGGAATACACGGTTTCAAAATAATTTCTAATTATGTTCTGTATTTCTGTAGTGTCTACTGTGAAATTTCCTTTTTCGTCATGTTAGTCATTTGAGTTTTCTCTCTCCTTCTCTTTCTTAGCATGGCTAAGGGTTTGTTAATTTTATCTATTTTTTCAAAGAACCAACATTTTCTTTTGTCACTTTTTTCAATTGTTTCTTTTCTTTCAGTTTCATTGATTTCAGCTCTGATTTTAATTATTTCCTGCCATCTACTATTCTTGGTGTTGATTTGTTCTTCTTTTTCTAGGGCTTTGAGATGTAATGTGTAGTCACTTATTTGTTGACTTTTTCTTCATATCCTTCATAGTGTCCCAGAGATTTTTGATATGTTGTATCTGTGTTCTCATTCACCTCTAAAATTTTTAATCTCCTCCTTGATGCCTTTTGCAACCATTAATCATTCAGTAGCATATTATTTAGTCTCTAAGTGTTGGAATAGCTTTTATTTTTTATTTTATCATTTATTATTCCATTTTGATCTGATAGAATGCAGGGTAATATCTCTACATTTTTACATTTGCTAAGAGTTGCTTTGTGACATAATATACAATCTATTTTAGAGAAGAATTCATGTGCTGCTGAGGAGAAAGTGTATTCATTCATTGAAGGATGAAATATTCTATATATGTCAGTTAAGTCTAAGTTATTGATTGTATTATTAAGTTCTATAGTTTATTTGTTTAGATTTTGTATGGAAGAACTATTCAGTGGTGAAAGAGGTGTGTTAATACATCCCAGAATTACTGTATTGTCTATTTGAATCTTGAACCTGAGAAGGGTTTGTTTGATGAACATAGATGCTCCATTGTTTAGGGCATATAAATTTATTATTATTATTATGTCTTGTTGATGAATAGTTCCTTTAAGTAGTATGAAATAACCTTTATCCTTTTTAATTAACTTTGACTTGAAGTCTACTTTATTTGTTATGAGGTTGGAAACTCCTTGTTGCTTCTGCAGTCCATATGAGTGTTATGATTTTTCTCAACCTTTCACCTTCAATCTCTGGATATCATTTCCTATGAGATGAGTCTCTTGAAGGCAGAATATTTTTGGATCTTTTTTTTAAATCCAACCTGCCAGTCTATGTCTTTTGATTGTCAATGGTCCCACTTGGGTACCAGGTAGTCCTGCATGGGTGAGTAGTTGGGAGATCTATTCTGATGCTGAGGCCTGGAGCCCTGGATGGACAAGGTGACCGTGATTCCTGAACGGGAGCAGGAATATAGTTTGCAGGGAAGCAGTATTCTCACTACTTCAGTCTGTAGTCACAGAGCAACATAGAAAGCTGCCTCCTTCTTGCCCGCCATTTTGGATTGGTATTATTTCTTAATTAAATATTAACCAAAGTCATTAGTGAAGTCATTACAACCTGGGTTATTTACTATGAATTTCCTTACCTGCTATAGCCTACTCATATTTTCCCTTTGCTTTGGAGTCATTTTTCTTTATTTGTGTCTTTCTGGAAATCTATTTCACTTAAATTGTCTAATTTGTTGCAATGAAGTTTTCATTATATTATCTTATAACTGCTTTAACAGCTTTAGAAACTATAGTCATGCCATCTGTTTCCTTCCTATTTTATAATATATTTTTCTCTTTTATTATAACATTAGTAGAAGTTTGTCAGAATTGTTGATCATTCCCATTCCTCATAGAAATAGAAAAAGCAGTCATGAAATTCATCTGGAAAAATAAGGGACCCAGAATAGCTAAAGCAGTCCTTATCAGGAAGAGTGAAGCAGGTGGCATCAGTATACCAGACCTTAAACTATACTACAGAGCAATAGTAACAAAAACAGCATGGTATTGGCACCAAAACAGACTGGTAGACCAATGGTACAGAGTAGAGGACACAAAGACCCCACATAATTACAGTTATCTTATATTAGACAATGGTGCCAAAAACATAAATTGGAGAAAAGATAGACTCTTCAACAAATGGTGCTAGGAAAACTGGAAATCCATATGCAACAAAATGAAATTAAACCCCTATCTCTCTCCATGCAAAAAACTAAACTCAAAATGGATCAAGGACTTAGGGATAAAACCAGAGACCCTGCTTCTAATAGAAGAAAAAGTAGGCCTAATCTCCATCATGTGGGATTAGGCCCCAACTTCCTTAATAAGATTCCTTTGGTGCAAGAATTAATATCAACAATCAATAAATGGAATAGACTCAAACTAAAAAGTTTCTTGTCAGCAAAAGAAACAATCTGTGAGGTGAATAGAGAGTCTACATCTTGGGAGCAAATACATCAGGTAGAGAACTAATCTCTAGGGTACATAAAGAACTCAAAAAGCTAAGTACCAAGAAAATAAATAACCCAATCAATAAATGGGCCAAGGACCTGAACAGACACTTCTCAGAAGATGATATACAGTCAATCACAAATATATGAAAAAAATGTTCATCATCACTCGCAATTAGAGAAATGCAAATCAAAACCCCTCTAAGATTTCATCTCACTGCAGTCAGAATGGCAGCTATTATGAAGACAAACAACAAGTGTTGGCGAGGATGTGGGGAAAAGGTACACTCATACACTGCTGGTGGGACTGCAAATTGGTGCAGTAAATATAGAAAGCAGTATGGAGATTTCTTGGAAAATTGGGAATGGAACCACCATTTGACCCAGCTATCCCTCTCCTCGGTCTATACCCAAAGGACTTAAAAACAGCATACCTCAGAGATACAGCCACATCAATATTTATATCAGCACAATTCAAAATAGCTAAATTGTATAACCAACCTAGATGGCCCTTCCTCAGGGTTCCTTTGACTGGAACCATCCTAGGTGCCCTTCCTTTGAACTAACCTAGATGCCTTTCAGTAGATTAATGGATAAAAAATATGTGGCATATATACACATTATTAGTCAGCAATAAAAGAGGTTAAAATGATGGCATTTGCAGGTCAATGGACAGCGTTGGAGAAGATAATGAAGGGGGCATTGGAAGAATGGACTAACTCCAAATAGGGCACAGGGGTTGGAGGGGATGGGAGGGTGTATGGGGTTAGTAATGATGGTGGAATGTGATGATCATTATTATCCAAAGTGCATGTATAAAAACAGAAATTGGTGTGAATATAACTGTGTATACAACCAGAAATATGAAAAATTGTGCTCTATGTGTAATAAGAATTGTAATGCATTCGCTGTCAAATATATATAAATTTAAAAAAAAGAATTGTTGATCATTCCAAAGAATCAAAATTTTAGTTCATTGATTTTACCTACTGTTTTAGTGTTTTTATCTCATTGATTTACACTCTAAACTTCTCATTCCTTCCTTCTTAGTCTAGGTTTTTTTTTTCATTTGATAGTTCACTAAGTTGGAAACTTATCTATTTGAAATATTTTTTTCTTCTCGAATATACTCAAAGCCATAAATTTACCTCTATATACTCTTTTAGCTCATTCCATAAAATTTTTTACATTGTTATTTTGTTTACATTCAGTTCAAAGTTCCCCTGATAATTTATTACTTTGGCCCATATATTTTTTAAAAGCATGATGGTACATCCACAAGACATTAATTTTAAAAATCCTATCACTAAATCACACAAAGAACAGTGAAATAAAAGGAAGGGAACCAGGTGTGGAAAGGAGAGGATGGGGAAATACTGGGAAATGAAGTACTAGTTATGATCCATGCTTTTATAATTATGTCATAGTATATTCTAATGTCACATAGATCTAAAAATAACCAATAAAAATGTCATGTTAAAAAAATAAATGAATATATGATCAAAATTCTGAAAAAAGATAATATTCACTTTAACATTTATATTATACTAAGTAGATTTTAAAAATAAATTAGTCTTAAATTTAATCAATGCAATATAATCAATACAATAATACAGGAGAACATCACTCTGTTGTGAGTCCTAATTAGTATTGAACACAGTGGCCTCTTATGCCATATAGGTATAAGGATGACCATTATAGGATGACCCATTTCACTTCTCTGTGGAATTTGGTGAATATTTTATCTCATTTCAAAACTAAAGAGAAATTTTAGTCCTCCACTTTGATGTTGTCCTTTTCATTTTATCTGTTTAGAAAATGTATGCCACTTCTGAGTTTAACTCTTGTAGTCAAAAAAATTACAAAGGATAATACCTTGTAGTTGGAAAGCTTCCTTTACTGTCAAAGGAACCCCAAGGAAGGGCCATTTCTTTTCCAGGGTGGATTCATCTTCGAGTTTCTCTGAAAGCCTTTGATCAACAGCATAAGCCTCCTTTTTGGCTGCCTCAAATCTAGTAAGAAATTAAACAGCACAAATGTAAACTACATAAATTAAACAACTACCCAATTTTATTAAAAGAGCAGATATAAACATAATATAACTAATATACTTGCCAAAAGACTTACAAAGTGAGCATTTAATCCAGTGATTCTCCTTTTAAGAATCCATCATAAGAACAGTGATCTAACACACTATCAAGGATCACTGTGGAAAGCTGATTTGTACAACATTATTTTTATTAAAAATTAAGAAACCTTTCATCAAACAAATTATGATAGATATCCATTATAGACAACTGCACAGTTGCTTGAAGGTTTCATTACTCTGGAAATTCTCATTATGCAATATGACTGAATTTAAATGAAGAGATCACAGCGTGATATTTTCAACAAAATCTCAAACACATGAAAAATGTACATATATATATATAAGCAAAATAAAACATTAAGAGTGAATAACAACTCCTTTGGTGCAAAGATTATGGGTGAGTTCTTGCATTTTACAAATTTTCTAGAATATATACAATTCACAGCAGAAGGAAATATAATAAATCAATATGTCCAAAAGAACACAATTTGAATGTATGTACTAATATGAACACCAAAGTATGTAATTACAATGGAACTTCTCAATGTTTCAACTACTAACTCTTTAAAAGAGAAATTCAAAATTGTCTAAATAGCATGTCATATGAATGTAAAATATTTAAAGAAAATTAAAGGTACATAAATAAGAAAATAAGTCAAATATTCTCTGTTTGCTTATGCCAGAAGATTTTACCAGAAGACTTCTACAGCTGATAAGAAAATTCAGACAAGCAGCAGGATATAATATACATAAATCAACAGTTTTTCTATACTCCACTAACAAATATGCTGAGAAAGAAATCAGGAAAACTATCCCATTCACAATTGCCTCAAATAATACTTAGTAATAAATCTAACCAAGGAGATGAAAAATCTATACAATTAAAACTACATAAAACTGAAGGAATTAATCAAAGATCTTAGAAGATGAGAAGAGCTCCCATGTTCTTGTGTAAGCAAAATTAATATAGTTTAAATGACTATTATGGTTTGGATGTGAGGTGTCCCTCAAAAGTTCAATGCAAGAAGGTTCAGAGGAGAAATAATTGGGTTTTGAGAGTTTTAGCCCAATCAGTGAATTAATACCATGATATGGATTAACTGAATGGAATTGAAGTGAGAGGTTATAGCTGTTGGAGGTGAGAACTGGGGCATGGATTTGGGGTATATACTTGTATGTGACAAGTGGAGACTCTCTCTCTCTCTGCTTCCTAAACACCATATGAGTTTCTTCACTCTGACACACTCTTCTTCCATGTTGTTCTGCCTCTCCTTGAGCCCCAAGGAATGGAGCCTACCATCTATGGATTGAGATCTTTGAAACCATGAGCCTCCAAATAAACTTTTCCTCCCCTAAAATTATTTTGGTCAGATTTTTTTAGTCACAGCAGTGAAATAGCTGACTAAAACAATATGCAAAGCAATATACAGATTCAATGCAGTCTCCATCAAAACACCAAAGGTATTCTTCACATAACTACAAAAAAGTCCTAAATTTCACTGGAAAGAATAAAATACACAGAATAGTCAATAATCCTGAGCAATAAGAGTGATGCTGGAGGCATCACAATACCTGATCTTAAATTACCATACAAAACTATAGTAACAAAAATGGCATGGGATTGTCATCACAATAGACACAAAGATGAACAGAGTACAATAAAAGACCCAGAGACAAACCCACATAGATGCAGGCATCCAATACTAAATTAAGGTGTCAAAAATATGTTGGAGAAAAGACAGCCTTTTAAACAATTGTGCTAGGAAAATTAGATGTCCATATGAAGAAAAATGAAACTATAATTCCCCCTGCACAAAAGTCAAATCAAAGTGGATCAAAGACCTAGGAATTAGGCCAGACACTGCAACTGCTAGAAGAAAACAGAGAATCAAAACTCCATCATATTGGCAAAGGCACTGACTTCCTTATAAAGTCTCCCAAAACTCAAAAAATAAAACCAAGAATCAATAATTGGGACATCAAATTAAAAAGCTTTGGTACAGCAAAGAAAATGATTAAGAGAATGAAGAGAAAGAGCCTATAGAATGGGAGAAAATCTTTACCAGCTGCTCCTCTGACATGGGATTAATATTCAGAATATATAAAGAACTCAAAAAGCTTAACATAAAAAATAACTCAATCAAAAATGGGCAAAAGAACTAAACAGACATTCCTAAAACAAGAAACACAAATGTCCAATAAATATATCAAATATACAAAAGGTTTAACATCTCTAACCATCAGGGAAATGCAAATCAAAAACACACTGACATTTCATCCCACTCCATTCAGAATGGCAATTATAAAGGTTACTACTAATAATAAATGCCAGCAAGAATGAGGGGGAAAATGTACACTCAAACATTCTTGGTGGGAATGCAAATTAGTAAAACCCCACTCAGGAAAGTAATATGGAGATTCATCAAAAACCTAGAAATGGAACCACTCTATTACCCAGGTATCACTCTCCTTAGTACTTATCCAAAATAACTAAAATCAGCATAATAGTTATATGGCCACATCAATATTTATAAAAGCACCATTCACAATAGCCAAATTATGGTATCAGTCCTGATGCCCATCATAAATGGATAGATTAATAAAATGTGATATATATACACACACACACATATATGTATATATGCATATATAATAAAGTTTTACTTAGCCATGAAATTATGGCATTTGCTGTTAAATTGATAGAGCTGGAGTACATTATGTTACGTGAAATAAGAAATAAGTCAGATTCAGAAAATTAAGGGTAGAATGTTTTATCTCATATGTGGAAGCTACAGAAAAATAAGGAGAAAGGAAGCACATCAGATATCATAAAGATAAAGGGAAGATCAGTGGAGAAGAAAAAGGAGATCAAGAGAAAGGAAGGAGGGACAGAAAAGAGGAGGAAATGTGTAATGAATAACAAAATCACACTGTATGCATGTATATATGTATATATATATATATATATATATATATATATATATATATGTGTGTGTGTGTGTGTGTATATATAAAACACCAGTCAAGAATAAATAAATAAATGAGTAAAAGGAGGATCAATAGAGTAGAGGAAGGAGAACAGGAGGAGGGATTTAGAGAGAGAAAGTTGTGGGCACCTAGGACTGAAATAGAGTAAGTGAAATTCCATGCATGTATGATTTTGTCAAAATGAACTCAACTTGGGCTGGGGATGTGGCTCAAGCAGTAGCACACTCGCCTGGCGTGCACCACATACCAACAAAGATGTTGTGTCCACCAAAAAGCTAAAAAATGAATATTAAAAAAAAATCTCTCTCTCTCTCTCTCTCTCTCTCTCTCTCTCTCTCTCTCTCTCTCTTTAAAAAAAATGAACTCAACTATTATGTATAACTATAATGGACTAATAAAAAAACATTAAAAAGACCCAGGTGGGTTTTGACAATTTTTATCTTCATAATACCTGAAAGACTATCATGCAGAAAAGTGAACAGAATTAGTCCACATGGTAACTGAGTCCAACCGGTCAAAGCCATAGCAAAAAAGATTCCAGCTACATTCCAAATCTACAAGAGTGAAATAGAGGACAATGAGTTCCCCATCACTGAAAGAGTTCAAGCCAGTTTTGAACTTGTGTGTGGTAGGAATAGGTAGAAGCAACATGAGAATTAGGCAGAAACTTCTAGGCATGCAATTTGGTGATTTTTATGATAATCTCTTAATCTTGCCATCTAAATACATTATTAGTGTTTGATCTCCAACTTTTTTTACAATTCCCATCAATAAAATCCTTTTGGAATACATCTTCCAATAAGGCAGCAAAGACAAGAATGTGTAAAAATGGATGAATGTACCCATCCTTTGTTTAATAATACAGTATTTCTCTTGAAAAAAAAATTTATACAAAGTGCTCTTGAAACTTCCCTAAGATGGAGGATTTATCACTGCAAAGTGTATATGCTCATGTTAAGTCATTGCTCCATCAAGGTCATGAAAATTCCTGATAAGCACATCTTCTAGGAGAAAAGATTTATTTTAGTTTCAAAGGGTTCAGTCTATGGTTGGCTATCTCCAAGGTATAAACATCATAGTGGCAGGGCATGGCCATATTATGCTATGTCCTCATATTAATATATCACAATGAATACCATTTTATATATAATTATTATATACAAATTTAAAAATTAGAAGAGAGACCATTAGAGTAAAGGAGTGGGATCAGGGGGCAGAGAATGGGAGGTACTAGGGAAGGAAACTGATCAAATTATGTTATGTGCATGTCTGAATATGTCACCATGAATCCCACCTTTATAGATGATTATAATTCATGAAAAAAGAATTAATCACAAATCAAAAGCAAAGTCATAATGTTAAGTGTTGTAGACATTGTTGGTTGCTTACCCCAAGATCCACTATTCTCCTGTACTAATAAAACCTCAATTTTTTCAGGCACTTACCTTTCTATCACTGTCATGTGCATTAGAGAAAATTATCTAATCACTAGCTTTAAGAGTATGATTTTGGGGGCTGGGGTTGTAGCTCAGTAGTAGGGCATTGGCCTAGCATGTGTGAGGCACTGGGTTCAATTTTCTTGCCAGAAATTGTCTACCTATTGACATTTGATCACAATTTTGGTACTTGAGACATGAGAATAAGGTTGATAAGTGAGGATGTCCAAGACAAAATTAAACCCTTAGGCTATTGATGACATTTTTTATGCCACGAATCAATCCTTTAGCTAAACTATCAAAAGATTTCCTATTTTGTGTAATGATATATTTTATTTATCGTTTTCAGTCATTTTGAGCTGTTAATTTTTGGTGTTGTTGTTGTTGTTTACAATGAAAAGCACCCAAAGTGTTAAAATTAATAGGGCATTTTTAAATTTAGTTGTAGAGATAGAAGCTAGATTTCAGTGAATGTAGGTATAAAACAAAAGTGAGGGTTCAGAAAAAGTAAATATTGACTAAAAATTTTAGCAGCTTGTATATGTAGAAAAAATGATACTGCCAGTTAGGTGCAGCAAGCTATTAATATGAAAATATTATATTCTACCCACTCAAATAATCTAGTCATTCAAAAGGCAATATACGCAGATGTCATATCCAGGATTTGGAGAAAGACTGATCTGGGATTGTTACACAGCTTTGCAACTGACAACTTCCTAAAGCTCAGTTTATCCAACTATAACAGTTTTGTATCAATAGAACCCAGATGCACTGTCATTAAAATGAAATAAAGCTGAAAACATAGCATTTAACACATAGGAGACATTTAATAAATAGTAGCTATTACCATTATCATTTATAATATCATCAAGTTTTTCTGACAATAAAAATATCCCTGTCAGGAAAATAAAAGGATTAGTGTTATAGCGGATAAATCCACAGCTAAATTACCCAAAGTACAGAGCTCATAGAACATGCAACATAAAATTTAGGATGTAGGCTATAAGTCACTGTATCAGAAAAAAACAATGAGAGGAACTGCAACAGCTACTTCTTTCAACATGTTCTATTAGTATTGATGCTATCAGTACCATTTACTGACAGACTCCTTGTTGACAGAAATACAGGTTCTTGGAACACTCTAACATCAAGAGTTTTCTAACCAAGTGAGAACAGAGCATTCAGACTCCCCAGCTGTATCTTCCCAAGGCTGAGGAAGACCTAATAGCTTAACTATATGCACTTTACTAAGGTCTTGAATGCACCTTCATTAATGCTGCTCAAACCTGAGCCACATATAATCAACAAAATCAAAGACTGCTAAGAGAAGGTTGATTTAAACAGAAATGGATCTAGATACCTTTATACATGGGCACAGTTCCAAAAGGCAGTTCTTGACCCCTGATACCAAGGACACACCCATAGTTTTAGACAAGCTAAAACCAGACATCCCAATCATGAATCCTTAAATCTATATATCCTGAAATCCTACCTTCAACCAGTAATCTAAATAGAGCAGAAGGTAAGGGATAAAAATACAAATAGGTTTCTCGCCCCAGGCTTTGGTGAAAGCTATACAGTCCCCTCAACTGTGTAGTGCTGCCTTCTGGTTTATTCATATTCACTCCTCAGGATTCTGTTTTTACATTATTTCCTCCAGAAACCCTTCCCTGATAGCTGTACAGTACTGGACAGATATACCTTCTCTGTGCTTCCACACTGCTCTCTTCTTTTCCTATTATATGCCTAATTACACAGTGCTTTATGTTTCAACCACTGGACTGAGATGTAAAGGAACTCAGGGACTATATGTTGTTCATCTTTGCATCCTGCAACACCTAGTACAGTGTTTCAATAAATATTTTTGGGATAAAGGAAAAAAGTATTAGGATTTTATAAACTGTTTTGCAAAATTATAAGCCTGAGAGTCTATGTTAATTTTCAACTTAGAAAGAATGAAACAAAAATTCAGAAAGGTTCAGAAAAATGCCTAATATCACATGATAATTAAACAGAGGAAGAATTCCATCCCAGGTATGCAGTACTCTATAAGTGTGTACTTCTATGTCTTTCCATCTTTGAACTATAGGACTAACAGCAGGCTTGACTTCACTATTTCCCATTTCATTCAAAGTTTACACACACACACACACACACACACACACACACACACACACACATATATATATATATATATATATATATATATGAATTCGTTAGCACAGATGTAAGGATGCAAGCCTAAAACTAGTAGGAAATCCAGACAAGAAAGAGAAATAATTAACTATAAATCATAACTGAGGAAGTCTTTGAAAGCAAATGGGTTGGCAGAGCATAAGAGGAAGCTGCATTTTGGACTCAAAGGAAAACGCAGTCTGAGAATAGACACATTATTTAGTCTTCCATTGAATAAACACTACATATCAGATCATATGTTAAACACTGAAGATACCAAGATAAATAAGAGATGGTTCCTATCATTGAGGAGCTCACAGTCTGGTGGTAAGACAAACAAGAACCCAATGACAATGCAGTGTTGAAATGGTCTCTCAACTCCAAACCAGGTGTTCTATATCTTACTGTAAGATGGAACTCTGAAAGTTAAATATTCCTTTGCATATCAGTGGCCTGTTAGATCCTTCAAATACAGAGTGTTACAGAGCGACTGAAAGAAAGAGGTGAAGGGATTTGCTCCTTCCAGCTTGCTTGCTGTACCTCACAACGCTGTATTTTCTTCTAGGCAACAATAGTTAGTTCTAGCTTCCTAGGTCTTTCAACACTGTAGAACCAATCTTAACACATCCCCTCAGAAATATCAATTGCTCCTGAAAATATTAACTACAGTTGGGCAAAGACTTTTCTCTAAGTTTCTGATGTATCAGCAGCTACCAGGCAGTACACTTTTCACAGATATCCCAGTTCTGAAGTAACCTCCTTTGAGCTTCTAGGTTCTGATTATACCAATCTCCTTATGTTCCATCAGACAAAGGGACGTAGCTGTTTCCTGAAGTTATTGTCTCTGCATTACACCACTGTTACATTTGTGGATTTTCCAATCTTTAACCACCTATTTCAACAATTCCCTTCATTAATTTCTTTGTTAACATAGGACAATTTCTGGATTCTGAAAGATACAAGAATCACAAAGAGCACAATGGGTTCTGGGAGCTCAGAGGTATACATCATGTACCAGCTGAGATTATTAGATAAAATGAAACAGAAACTTAAGCTAAGTCCTAAAACCTTAACATCAGGGAGGGAAAAGGTTTTATAAGCAGGAGAAACAGCATATGTAAAGTTATGGGGATGAGAGAGAGCAAAATGGGTCAGAGGAAGTGAAAGAGTGACAAGAAAATTAGGACATGAAGGAACAGAGAAGGATAGAATGATATGAAGTAATGAATGAGATATAGCAAAATTTGAGTAATTGGAGTTAGAAGATAAATTTGATAAAAAAGAGAAAGAAAGAAAGAAAGAAAGAAAGAGAGAGAGAGAGAAAGAAAGAAAGAAAGAGAGAGAGAGAGAAAGAAAGTCGAGTCTAGGGTTACACCCAGATGTCTTATTTGTGTGACTCATGGAAGAACAGGTTTAGCAAGATGGTAATACAGTGATAGATAGTGTTTCATTAGTCAACTAAAAGTAGAGGAACTGGACATGTAGCTCAGTGTTAGAGTACCTGTCTAGCATATGAGGTTTGGAGTTCAATCCCCATTAGAAAAAAGAAGGCTATAAGCTAGCAGAATTACAGCCCATATTTCTGTCTACTATTTCTTGGATCTGTATTTTAGTCACTAAAATTCCCTGAAAGTCAGTTTTAGTGCCAAGTAAACAGGTATAACAATACAGTAGAAAATAATATCTAATATATTAAATTGACACTGAAAAGTTTGTATGTGAGGTGATGGGTGAATTTCTTCTATTAAAACCACCACCAGATATTAATTCAATAAGCATGTAATCATGCCTACCTAGTTTCAGATCTTGTTCTGGATGGTAGATATGCAAAGAAACTAATGAAATTTAGTCCTTGCCATCAAGGATCTAGTCTATATGATAGGGAATGGGGTATAGTGGCAAACACCAACATAAAGGCTGAATAAAGGTCTAAAAGTGCTGAATCAGAAGAAGATTTTAGTGAAAAATCAAAGGAAGGTCACAGAGGAAGACAAGTCCAAGAAACTTGTTAAGGTAGCATGGCCACAAAAGTAGAACAAAAACCATCATGAATGACTCCATGATTGAGTGAAAATGCTCACCTGTACTTTACAATTCCATTAATCATTGGGTTCACATCCTTGATTCTGTTGATATAAGCTTGAACAACATCTATACACTTCACCTGAAAATACAATAATTTAGTTAGATAGCATTTGCTTATTTAAAAATTCATCCATTCAACAAGTACTTATTGAAAGTTCACTAATGCCCTGAAACTTAACACTACACATCTCTGCAAAACTCATGAGTTGGAGAGCAGAGACATTATACCATAAGGTAGAGTTTCCAGATAAAACACAGAATGCTAAGTTATATTTGAAGTTTAGAGGAATAGTAAATAATGTTTAGCATAAGTAAACCTCAATTATTGTATGGGAATAATTATACTAAAATATATGTTTTTATATTAAATTTAGTTGAGTGTATTGTATTTTTATTTGCTAAATTTGGCAACACTGCATGTAGGGTTTTAGGTGAGGCATATGAGTAGGGAAAAGGCAAGTAACACATTCTATGAAGGTGCTATAAGTTTATTATTTAATTACAATATGCAATTGTGGTTCTAATGATACTTCTTAGACATGAAGCAATATGTATTAGTAAATTACAAAGAAATGTATATTCCCTCAATACAAAGTAAATGAAAATAAACTTGTTTAAGACTGAAAAAGTAAGGAAAGGGAAAGTATAATAAACATAGTATGAAGTGGAATAAAAAATTGTATCATACTAAGTGTGAAGGAATGAATTTACCCATTAGAGGGCAAAATCATTAAATAATTAATTTTAGTTTAAAAAACAAAAGCTCAGTAATACATTATTTATAAGAGGTTCACCTGGAGCAAAGAGACAATGAAATCTTTAAAACAACAGAAAGCTAGTCAAATACATACTAGGTAAATACAAGAAGAAAAAAACACCAGGGATGGGCACCATTAATATCATATTAAGCACATTTCAAAATTTAAACATGAAATAAAAAGTTCATGATGGTGCTACAATAGTCATATCCTTTTCTGTATTAAAAAATCTGGCAAATATATAGAGTGTAAACTTAAAAGGGAATACAAAAGAAACTTGGCAGAAATACAAGAATAGTAACAGATAATACAGCTTTCTCAGAAATTGACAGTCATTATAAACAAAGATATAGATGGGAACTTAATAGTACAACCAACATGCTCAAAAACACAGAGAAAAAAATTATTCTATCAAAAATGAATATCTCTGTATCCCCAAATCATCAACATAAATGATCATGCACTTATTCATAAACAAAACTTAAAATCGCCAAATGTTTCAGAAACAGTTTAAGTCAATTAGGTAAATTATCATAATCTAGTAATACTAGAACCAAATAGAGAAAGATGATTTTTTTAAACCTTAACTATTTCAAAAACATTCCTCTATATAATGTATGGCTCTAAGAGGTAAACAAAATTAAAGTTGCAAATTATCCAGAGACTGACAATAAAGAGTGACATCTCTTATCAAACTCTATGAGATATAGCTAAAACTATTTAATATGCATTTTTAGTGTTTTGAAGTTTACGTAACAGTGTAGTTCATTTAGACATATTCTTAAATATATATTACATTTCAATACCCATTAATATTCCCTTCCTATCCTTCCTCCTTCCTTTCCCTGGTCATCTTCCTCTACTCTGTTGGTCTTCCATCTATTTATTTATTTATTTATTTATTTTTACCTGGTTCATTTTATATATTTTATGTGTATATAATGTATATTATATATATAAAATTGGAATGCATTGTGATATATCCATACATGCATAATTACAAATAATATGATTTTATTTGTAAAAGTATAAAATTAATACAATATATAAAATATTCAACTTAAAATAATGTAAAAACAAAGTAAATAAAAAATTATAGATACACAAAACAAAGTTTAAAGACAAAGAAATAATAGCAATAGTCAAAACAACAGGGTGAAAACATAAGTAAAAACAACTTATAAATACCCATAAAACAGATTAAACCATAACAAGTATGATGGAGAATGAGGAGAGTACACACACAATAATGGCTTAATATTGAGAATTAAAAAGAAGATACAATTATAGATGCAAGGAAGATTGAAAAATTTATAAGAAAATATTATATTTCTCTAGGCTAATTCTTACCTATCCTTTAGAAACACCTACTGGGTTCTCAGTAAATATTTGTTTAAAAGCATGCATAAATGGTAATTTAATCCACCACAAATTGAACCTCTACTCTGGTAGCTCTGGAGTTAAGGGCCTGAGTTTTCACACTGAGGTCTAGAACCTGGCCACCTCACCAATGAATGCCACCCAATAGATTTTCAAAATCTGACACACTTTCATTTGAACACATATGAATCGACCACAATGAATCTCCACATCATATACAACCACAAGACTTGGATCCTAATTAGAATAAGATATATTCCATGTATATATAAATAAGTCAAAATATACCCTATTTTCATGTATATCTAAAAAGAACAAATAAAATTTTTAAAAAGAATACAAACCATAATAAAATGCTGGAAAAGATGTGGGAAAACACTTTCAACAGCTGCCCTAATTGAGTCCATAGCAAGTAGGAAAAAAAAATCAATAAACCAAGCATATATTAAAGGATATAACACAACAATAATTGTCATTTAAATTCTTTAAATGCCAAGAACTTTACATTTATTATGTAATTAAATCCTCCTAGTAACACATGTCATATTATCCCCATTTTATAGCTAAAGCCACTGAAGCTCAATGAACTTAAGTGCTTCAAGTACTATATTGAATAGACTGGTGAGAGTAGACATCCTTATCTTATTCCTGATTTTTGAAGAAATGCTTTTTTCCCCTTGGTTATGATATTGTCCTTGGGTTTCTCATATTCCTTATCATGTTAAGGTAAGTTCCTTCTTTTCCTAGTTATTTCAGTGTTTTAACATGAATAGGTTAAGTGAACAGAGATCTTCACAGAGTCATGTGATCTTCACAGAGATCACATGGCTGAGCCAGGATATATATGTATGCTTGATTCAATAAACCATGCTGCCATAGAGAAATGAAGATGGTGTGTGTGACTAGAAAATTCATTCCCTAAAATACAAATGAAAAGTAAAAACATCTTTCTCTCCTCTCCTCTTTCTCTTTTCCCTCCTCCTTTCCTTCCTTTCTCTATAGCTTTTTTCTCCTCCCTCCACAAGATTAATTATAGTATACTAATTGTTCTATCCCTTATTTTTTACCAGTTGATATATTTCAAGAACTATTTACATATCAGCTCCTTTAGATCTACTTCATGCTTATTAATAGGTACAACATACCCCCTGGTATGGTCAGACTAAAGGAGAGATCACTGATATTTTTATTAGTTACATAAAAAGTGAAAACTAATTTTCAAATTTTCCTCATTGGTAACTAATTATATTTAATATAAGTTGGTAGCATGAACACACATGGTCCAACAATCTAAAAATAACATTTCATAGGATTCATTATTCATTATATTTACTCTAAGTAATTGAACACCAGCAATACTTCATCCTAACCTTTGTACCTATTGCCAAATTCTTCCCATTCCTCTCTGCCCTCACACTATGCACAACAAATGTGTACAATTGTTTTGTATTGCTTATGAATAAAATTTTAAACTATACAATGAAAAAGTTCCCTTATACTTCTGAATCCTGACACTCTCCTATAACAACTAATGTTATCAGTCTTTGTGCATCTTTTCAGAGACATAGGTATATCTATGAAAGACAGATACTAAATAGAGATAGACAAAAGATTTTTTCATGAAAATAACAATATATTAGAAATTATTTTTTTTCATTCAAAATACATATGGAACTCATTCCATATCCTATACATAAAGTGCTGTCTTATTTATTATTTGTTGTAGACATAATGTACCACACTAAATCGGGATCTAGATTTGCCTTTATGAACATTCACTTTGACAACATATGAGGATATCATCATATATGTCATTAGGGGATCTGTCAACTGTGAAATCACTAACCAAAGCAAATTTTGAAATATGCAGGAACAATCCCAAGGCTATGGATAGAAGTGAACATAGTAAGTTGATATTCTTTTTTTAAGGCTCACTCTTGGAAGTCAACTGAGGCTAAAAAATTTCAGATGAAATAGAGGTAGCCTGAATTCTGAGTGGTGAAAGAGTGCTCATATAGGGATTGAAAGGCAAGCATAAAGACAATAGAAAGTGAATTAKAAGGAACTGATAGTTCAATCAGAGAGCTGGTGATCAGGAAGCATTATTCTTTCATAAAGAGCCATGAAAATATGCGATCATATTGACCTGGCTCTATCACTTCATAATTATATGGCACTAGACACGTTACTGGACAGTTTTAAACCTTCTTTCCTCATCTATAAGATGATGATAATGGTACCAAYCTCAAAATGTGGTTATGAGGATTAAGTTTATAAAAGTCTAAGTTAAGCATTGCCTCAACTGGCACATGGTAGCTGCTTAATAAAATTTAGTTGTTTTCTGATAAGAACATTTCTATGTATTAAGAAAGCAGGGACTAAGGAAGAGCTAGGACAAATAAGATTTTGTATGTTCTTCACTTCTCCCCTTCAGAACATTTTTATATAATCTGATAAATTATATACAGCATATAATCTTCTTTCATGAGCAAGCATGAAAATATTGATATCACACCTAATAATAATAAAAATAATACAATTAATGCTTATATAGTGCTATTATGCCAGGCATTATTTTAAAAGCTTTACATACATGAATTCATTTAATTCTCACWACAATCCTATAAATAGATCATGTCATCAGTACATGTTCTTATCTCCTCATTAGGAGAATTAAGATCTACTTACTTACTGTCCCTGACCCCTAACTACATATTTTATAGTCTTTGCTTATGAAGAAAATAAATAAAATTTCAAAAAGAAATAATAAATATATCATAGCTATTTTTTTCATTTTGCAGAGTTTTCCGTAAACTTGTAAACTACAGAATTGATGGGGTTCACTGCATCAAAATTACATTGTAAGAATATATATGTATATATGTGTGTACTTGTAGGTATTTGTGTAAATGTAGATCATGAGAGAATGTTTGAGTAAACTAAGAGTAAGTAGTAGRAACCAAGATACCCAACCAAAATTCCCCAGTATGTGCTAGTATCCATGATTGTATTCCTATTTTCTACAGAAAGATAAGACTACAATCTATAATATTAAAGTTAACTTTCATTGAGAATGTGCTGAGTATTTTAGAGCTGTTATCTCATTCAAGTATCCCAATAACTTTATGAAGTAGGTAAAAAATATTTTATCCCATTTTACATTTAAGGAAACTGTCACTCAATTACTGATATTTAAGAGAAAGATAAAAGGTAAAACWTTGACCTTTGGAGGGATAAGGAAAACAGACTAAATGGCCTTGTTAATCCTGTAATAGATGAATACTAAAAAATACAGGTGCCATTCTGATAGCACAGTCAAAGGAAAAGGAAAATACTTGATTTTGCTGAAAATGATCTTAAGGCAAAGTGAATATACCAGCAGTTTAGAATTTTCTTGCATCTGGTATATAGAATTTACTCATCCATGTATTGAGGCACCAAAAGATAGCATTCAAATGCATGTGGGTGACAGACTCTGAGTCCGTATATACAGTCTATTAAAGTTAGGTATTAGTATCAATTCCTCCTCCATCTTGATCTTAAATAATTTCTTGGCATTTAATATGCAAATTGGAGATAAAATTCATAAAGTTACTAGTGTGCAATAAGCACTCTATAAATGATGGCTGTTATTATGACAACTATTATGAGTCCTAAATTTGACCAAAAATTTAACTGGTATCAACCCAGTCTTACATAAAAAATAGGTCAAGTTACCTATTTATTTTATAATGGCTTTCTCTCAGGCCTTAGCAAATAAGACTGGAAAGAAACCAGTTTTCTCAAATAACGCTTGAGTAGAATTCTTCAATTTTGGCTCTATTGAAAAATTGAGGCAAATAACTCTACTATGGAGAGGGCTGTCCTGTGCATTGGAGTGTGGTTAGCAGCATCCCTGGTACTCATTCAATTGTGAAACCAAAATGTTCCCATACATTGTCACATGTCCCCGGATGGCCAATCCCTCCCACCCCCCAACCATTTCTCTAGAGAAAGGAAGAAAATTTTAAAATATATATAACAAAAAGTTAAGGTCTAATGGTGTATATATCAACATTACCTTGTTGGGACACAACATTGGTGGGACTGAAGGAAAACTCATACAAATAAGATTTTATATCTACTTCACTTCTCTTCAGAACACTTTAATATAAAATATATCTAGATAAGCTCTTATCATGGGCAAGCATGAACATATAAATAACAGCCATCAAAAACTTGATGGTAGTAATTTTAGCCAGGACTATTATGCCAGGAAATGTTTTAAAAGCTTCATGTGTATGAACTCATTCAATCTTCACAACTCCATACAGTAGATTCTATTATCTAGTCCATTTTTCTTACAGGATATTTAGAGGCACAAAAGTTTAAAGGATTTTTCCAAGATCACACATCCAGATAGCAAGATAGCTAGGATTTCTGAACCCCAGTAATCCGGCTCCAGTGTTCATTCTTGTAATCTCTATGCTACAGAACTTATTGTGTGCCAGAGACTTGACATGTATTATTTGCAATTGTCATGGCAACCCTTGCCCAGGCTATGGAGATACACACCAACATTTTAATCTACTATCTTTACACTACATCCCACTATCTGCCTATTAGCAAAACCATGTATGATTAGTGGATGTTGGGGAGTGAATTGAGGAATGAGAAAAATATGTTGTTTAAAGGTAACCAGGAGTTAAATGAAACAATAGAGAGATAAAGAAAAGAAATGAAAAACAATACTAGGAAATAGCCCAACACCTCTAGGGAATCCACCAATCATATGTCAAGGAGATTACTAGTCCTGCCAGAACAACTGTAGAGAAAAATGATTGCTTAAGCTGCTTAAAATTAATAATTTGTAAATTTTCATGCATTTGTACAAATCATTTTACCCCAATTATTTTACATGGATATTACCTGTAGAACTACATCAGTGAGATAAAATATGTTTAATTATTACTGGTAGCCACAGTAATCACTATTTTAGACCAAATACTACTGTTCTTCTAAATTAAAAAAAGAAAAAAAAAAACACCTTGGACAGAAAGCAAAAAGGAAGAGAGAGAGAAACCCTATTGTTGAGAATCAGTTTCAAAAACCACTCCTGGTTTTTCTTCTGCACAATTATTTTGCACAAACAGGAAAAATGGACATAATGACTGAAGGATGCCGAAATAATCCAACCAGTGCTTACAGCAAATGTATAAACATGCACACTATGACTCACAGAAGTTTCCTTTTCATCCCCATTTGAAAGCCTCTCCCAAGTCTCATAGTAGAGGATGGAAAGGAAATTGATTTCCCCAACTCAGTCATGTACCACAACCACTACCACCACTAAACTTCCAGGAGTCTGAGACTAAAATACGCCCCCTGCACCCACTTCTAAATCTGCTCCCTTTGCGCTCTCTCTCACCTTCCTCTGTCTAATCAGCTTAGCCAGCTGTATTGCAGAAAGCAGAAGCAAGGGTTCCTTCACTGGACCGGTGGTTCTTGAGCCAAATTTTGGGCCGCCAAAGGCTCGAGCCGCTTGGCCCATTAGGCCTATGAGAAAACCTACTGCTCGCAAGAGAAGCAGCTGGACGCGGGCGCGGAATGGAGGTGCCATAGAGGCCTGGATTCCGGTGGGTCCTAGTGCTGGAGGGTTTCGTACACCCTGGGAAAGCAGGAGAAAAGACTAAGCAAACAGCTAAAAAAGGATTCCTTTGGCTTACAAATCCAGTGTCTACCCACAATTCCACAGGAGCTTATTTGTTATCACCTGCTGGGCTCCTGGCCAGAGATGAGAATGGAGATGAACCCTTTTCAGCAGCTTTCTGTGTGACTGCAACCTGTGGTTAGTGCTGGCATAAATCCAACCTGGAAAATGAGATGTAGGAAAGAATACTGGCTTTGAGGCTCTCCAATTCTGCTACTGTATTGCCTTGTCCAATTTATACTAATCTCAAATTCAATTTGTTCATATAAAAAAGGGCATAATTACTTTGACATGAAATAGTTTTGATGAACAGCAAATAAATAAATAAATAAATAAATAAATCACAACACAGTACAACTCACAGCAAATGTTATAAGTAGTAGCTATGATTTATTTCAGCTGTATCTGTGAAAAAAAGTGTTAGAAGTTTACATTTTTATATAAAATAGTATGATCAGAAAAGGTTAACTTGCAAGCATATACATTTTATCCACATGCATGTTACCTAATCCTTATTAACCCATTGTCAGGTAGTACTGATGAACATTAAATCTCCAGCCCATAATCACTCTTATAAACTCCAGACACTTGAAATCCAATGTCTATTTGACATCTCCATGTGAATGTCTCACCAATTCTTCAAACTAAACATGTCCAAAAGTCATCATTTTCTCCCCAAACTTGCTGTTCCTCCAAGTTCACAAGTAGCATTTTCATGTACCCAGTGAGTCACRCAAAAATCTGAGAATCCTCTCAACTTCTTCTTTTACTCACATCATCATGAACAATAACCAAATCCACACAATGCCTTTCCCTTCCAACTCAGCCTCATTCTGATCTTATTTATGTTTACATGAACATCTACAGATACTCTAGCTGATCTCCCTGCCTTTATTTATGAATCCATATTTTTAATATACAAATTGGACCTTGTTACTCCCTTGCCAATGACTCTGCAATAATTCTACATTGTCCACAGGTTAAAGCCACATCTACTTTGGCATTCAGAGGTTTCATGATTGATGTCTGCAAAACTCTGTACTCTTMATACTTCAAGTCTATGCTACAGCCAACCAGAACTGAAAGTCCTCTTTCCCCTTCTTATCTGGTTAAGGACAAATATTTCAACTTTTCCCCAAGCTCCCAAATGCCTTTGATGGCACTCTTTAATTACCCTACACACTACAGATCAACAATATCATAGTACTTCTCGATTTAAACATAAAGATTTTTATAACTACTTGCCATCTAGAAGTGAACTCCTTGAAGAATAAGGCCATTTTAAACCTTCTTTGTATTGTCAAAACTCAACATAGTACTTAGCATGCAGTTGACACTACTTTGCAAGTTAAAGAGCTTATGAAAAGAATGAATGTTGACTTGATTTTGACATTTAGAGCCTTGGGTAGGTGCAACCTTTTCACTTGCAAAAGTCAGGTGAATAATCAAGGTGTCATCATAACATTTCTAGCTTAATTGGAAGCACCTGGTAGAATACAGGTTAATCAAGATAGGCACATCTGGCAGATCCAGTGAGCACAGGTAGGTTATCATAATCTAGATGCCATTATAATGTCAAGCAAAATCTTTGGTGAGTGAACTATTTTTAATACCTTTATTTATTTATTTATTTATTTGTTTGTTTGTTTGTTTTTATGTGGTTCTGAGGATCAAACCTAGTGTCTCACACATGCTAGGCGAACACTCTACTACTGAGCCACAACCACAGCCCCAAGGGTGAACCATTTTTACCAGAAAGAATCTTTGTCAAAATGGAAGTCTATCCTTGGCCTGACTTCTGTTACATTATCTAAATTATAAATGACCAATATATGAGTCTCTGGTATGAAGAATGTTCACTGATTGGGGACTGAATACAAAGAACTGGATTTAAATCATAGGCTCGCCTCACATGTTTCTGACTTTGTACAAATCACATACTATCTCTGAATGTGTTTCTTTATCTGTAAAGTAGGATAACTGTTAACTTATGGTGTTAAGAAAATTAAATGAGATATACATGTAAAGCTCGTGATGATGACTTTCTGGTACATATTCACTTGTAGTGGGCAAAGAAATATGCACAGTCTTGAGAATAAGGAAAATGTGTAAGAGAAATTCATTTTGTCTCAAAAGAAAAAAATAAATTCTATATGAGACTGCATGTGTGTATGTGTGTATGTGTGTGTGTGTGTGTGTGTGTGTGAGAGAGAGAGAGAGAGAGAGAGAGAGAGAGAGAGAGAGAGAGAGAGAGAGAGAAATCTTCCCATCAAACTTAAGGTGGATTTATGTAATCTCATCATCCATTAGCAATCAAAGGTGAGACATGGGAGTAATCTTTGATTCCTTACTAAATCTCATTTATCATTAGATATCTTAAGTCTAGTATATCTGCCACCTGTTTTTTTACTCACACTTCCAGAACTACTAGCTAAAATTTTACTGGCTTACTTACTGGTCTTATGTTCCTTTCAATCTGTTCTGTTTCAACACAATTCACTATGCTTAATTTTTATTTTTTTCAGGCAAGTAAGGTATCTATTTATATGATATATATTTGGCCTTTATCATATCCTCATGAAACTGAGTATTATTGTTTATAACAACTTCATAGGGAAAAAGAATTTTTCATATTATTTAAATTTATATTTATTTGCTTTAGAGAGATAATGAATGATAATCATTTTAAAATGATTATGGATTGTTTGTATATCTTTTATGTGTATAAGATTTTCTTTTTTCTTTTATTTATTTGTTTATTTATTCAAATTTTTTCTATATGACATTGAAATGCATTATAATTCTTATTACACATATACAGCACAATTTTTTATATCTCTAGTTGTATACAAAGTATATTCACATCAATTCATTTCTTCATACATGTACTTTGGATAATAATGATCATCACATTCCACCATTATTTATAATCCCATGCCCCCTCCCTTTCCCTCCAAAACCCCTGTACTATCTAGAGTTCATCTATTCCTCCCATGCTCTCTCTCCTTATTACACTATATATAAGCCTTCTTATATCAGAGAAAACATTTGGCATTTGTTTTTTGGGGATTGGCTAACTTCATTAGCATTATCTTCTCCAACACTATCCATTTATCTGCAAATGCCAAGATTTTATTCTCTTTTATATATATGCCACATTTTTAAAATCCATTCATCTACTGAAGGGCATCTAGGCTGGTTCCACAGTTTAGCTATTGTGAATTGTGCTGCCTATAAAAATTGATGTGGCTGTGTCCATGTAGTATGCTATTTTTAAGTCCTTTGGGTATAGACCCAGGAGAGGGATAGCTGGGTCAAATGGTGGTTCCATTATAAATTTTCCATGAAATCTCCATACTGTTTTCCATATTGAATGCAACAATTTGCAGTCCCACCAGCAGTGCATGAGTGTACCTTTTTCCCCACATCCTCGCCAACACTTATTGTTGTTTGTTTTCACAATAGCTGCCATTCTGACTAGAATGAGATTAAATCTTAGAGTGGTTTTGATTTGCATTTCTCTAATTGCTAGTGATGATGAATTTTTTCATATATTTGTTGATTAATTGTATATCATCTTCTGGGAAGTGTCTGTTCAGGTCATGGGCCCATTTATTGATTGGGTTATTTATTTTCTTGGTGATTAGCTTTTTGAGTTCTTTATATATCCTAGAGAATATAATTCTCTATCTGATGTGTGAGGGGTAAAGATTTGTTCCCATTATATAGGCTCTCTGTTCACCTCACAGACTGTTTCTTTTTGTGATAAAAAACTTTTCAGTTTGAGTCTATCCCACTTATTGTTTCTTGATTTATTTCTTGCACCAAAGGAGTCTTATTAGAAATTGGGGCCTAATCCCACGTGATGGAGATTAGGGCCTACTTTTTCTTCTATTAAATACAGGATCTCTGGTTTTATTCCTAAGTCCTTGATCCATTTTGAGTTTTGTTTTGAGAATGGTAAGAGATAAGGATTCAATTCCATTTTGTTGCATATGGATTTCCAGTTTTCCTAGCACCATTTGTTGAAGTAGATATCTTTTCTCCAGTGCATGTTTTTGGCACCTTTGTCTAATAAAGATAATTGTAATTTTATGGGTTAGTCTCTGTGTCCTCTACTCTGTACCATTGGTCTACCAGTCTGTTTTGGTGCCAATACCATGCTGCTTTTGTTACTATTGCTCTGTAGTATAGTTTAAGGTCTGGTATACTGATGTCACCTGCTTCACTCTTCCTGCTAAGGACTGCTTTAGCTATTCTGGGTCCCTTATTTTTCCAGATGAATTTCATGACTGCTTTTTCTATTTCTATGAGGAATGTCCTTGGGATTTTGACTGTATAGTTCTTTAGGAAGTATGGTCATTTTGATAATATTAATTCTGCCTTTTCAAGAGCAAGGTAGATTTTCTGTATTCTAAGGACTTCTTTGACTTTTTTTTTTAGGGTTCTGTAATTTTAATTATATAAATCTTTCACTTCTTTCATTAAGTTGATTCCCAGATGTTTTATTTATTTATTTATTTTGGGGGAGGCTATTGTAAATGGTGTAGTTTTCCTCATTTCCCTTTCTGAGGATTTGTCATTGATATACAGAAATGTCTTTGATTTATGAGTATTGATTTTTTATCCTGCTACTTTGCTAAATTTATTTACTAATTCTAGAAGTTTTCTGGTGGAAAACTGTAGGGACTTCTAGGTATAGAAACATATCATCAGCAAATGGTGACAATTTGAATTCTTCTTTTCCTAAGTGTATCCTTTTAATTTCTTTCTCTTTTTTTGACAGAAAGCTAACAAAAAACTATTTTATGTTCTTATCAACTGGCAATATTTTTTTGTATTTTAGGTATTGTGGGTGATATATAGTAAAGTGGGTTGAATTTTCATTTCTCCGGTGACTAATAATGTAGTACAACTTGTGCTTATTTGCCATATGTATATCTTCTTTTTTAGTTTTATTGATTTTATTTCGTTTAATTTATTTCATGTATCTAATTGCTCTGGCCAGTGTTTCAAAAATTAGGTTAAATAGAAGTGGCAAAGTAGGGCATCCCCATCCTATCTTGTTCCACATTTTAGATGGAATGCCTTCAAATTTTTCTCCATTTAGAATGATTTTGGTCTGAGGCTTAGCATAGATAGCCTTTATGATGGGTACAATCGTATGTTGTTGTTGGGACTGCAAATTGGTGCACTATGGAAAGCAATAGNTGTCCTTTGATGATCTTTACTTCTTCTTTTAAGAAGCAGCAACATACGCTGCGGCGGCGGTGGCGCGGAGCACAGAGCGGCTCACTCATTCCCCGCCGCCATCTTCCTCCCAAAACCTACCCTGTACTTCTCTCCCAGTTTTTCTTAATGGTTATGCTATGCTTTGAACAAGGCCTAGAACTATTCATAATGTTTATTGCTAAAGTATGAGTAGAGGGATGGATATGAATGAAAACTGTAAAATTTTTATCTTACAAACTTCTGAATGGATTTTTAAAATATGATAAACAATACAATTAATATACTAATATAAAATATTTGATAAGATCTATTTTGAGGCAGGGTTTTGATAAATTGCCCAGGCTAGCCTCAAATTTGTAATCCTCCCACCTTAATCTCCCAAGTAACTGGGATTACAGGCAAATGCCACCATACCCAGCTTTAATTTTTAACTGACAAAAACTTTTAAAAACAATGTTGTTCCTACAATCTGGTTGACTTCTATTGTATAGCAAGCATTCTTTCATATAGTAAAGAAAACCAGGTTTACTCCTTGATAGTCATACAGGCAATAATGAACTTAAATAAACATGTAAATAAATAAATAAAACCATGTACTTAACTATAATTTTAAAAAGTTTTCTTCAATTATGTGGCCAACAATTGTCAGTTAAGAAGTTAAGAAGATGACAGTCAAATAATATAATCTGAGCCTTAATTTCAAACTCTCCTCCAGAAAAGTTTACTATGATGCTTAGAAAGTTCTTTAAGAATTTAATATAAAAGATATAGAAGATAAATTTAGATACCAAAGAGCTCCAAACATTTTTGAAAACCATTGTAAACATACTAAAATCAGAACAGCAAATTCATATAGTAGAACTTTCATTTTCTCTTTAGTGTGCTTTTATTATCATATTTAGGAACCAGGAGCACTCCCTTTTACTTCTTGGTTTAATAAATTTTATTTTTCAAATACACAGTTGGCAGTTGGTTGCCCTTTTTCAAGTGTCTTCACCAGCTGGAGAACTCCACCTTGGTATTTCTGGCATAAATTAACTTGGGCTCTGCGCTTTGAGACCAGTGGGATGAGTCCTTTAACTGAGGCACTCCTGGCCAGGGAACCATGAATATTCAGTCTTTTAGAGACCACAGCTGGGCTTAACAAGCTTATAGCTGGGAACTTCCTTACAGAATCTGAAGTTGTGTCAAACAAGACTAGGTTACTGAGCTTGTCCCAAACTTTGCCTTTGGACCACTTCTTTTTGGCCTCACCCTCAGATTAGTTCACTGGGTCTTTTTCTTGGCCAACTTTCTTCTTGTAGTCCTCGGGTGGCATCCGAACCACCGTAGGCTAACTGAGATATCATACAAAAAGCTAGTGCTTCCTTTTGTAGCTTTTGAATCCTCTTTTCTGTACTTTTAATTTGAAAAATTCTTAAAGATAGAGCAAGATGTCATGACCACTACTAAATCAAATGTTTTTCTTTCAAAGTAACCTTGATGAAGGTCAAGAAACTTTATCTCAGTATAATGTGAGTATACCTTAATTTGAAATGCTTGGGACCAGAAGTGTTTCAGATTTCAGATTTTTTTTTAATTTAGAATATATGCATAACGTGATGAGCTATCTTCTCGACAGAACCCAAGTCTAAATGTGAAATTAATTATATTTTATCTATACCCTGTACACATAGCCCAAGGATAATTTTACACAGTATTTTTAGTGTACTTGGATTTTGACTGCAATACATCATAGGATGTTAGGTATGCAGTTTTCTGATTGTAATATTCAAAAAGTATCAGATTTTGAAGCACTTCAGATTTCAGATTTTCAGATTAGGAATGCTCAACCTATATTGAAAATTCTAGGTGGTCCTTCACTTCTGCTGTGACTATGAGGGGCACAGTGTAGTAGTGGGTAGCCTCTGGAGTTCAAAAGACCTGGGTTTGAATACTGGCTGTTAATAGTCCAGCAACTCTGAAGTCTCTTTTTCCTTAGGAGTACAAAGGAAATTATAAAACCTATTTTGCAAGATTATTGTAAGAATTAAATTAAATTTCGTGTACAATGAACCTAATCCATTGACTTGCACTGAGTAGGTAGGTGCTCAATAAAGGGGAAGTAAGATTTTTATTTTTACAGTAGAGCTGAGTAATTAAGCACCTACATAAAAGCAGTCCCTGTGCTCTGCAATCTGCTCAAGCATGAGACAAATGTGTCATAGAAAAGAGCCCTCTCTGGGGCCTGTTACACACGGGTGGTGAGCTTATGATATTTTCTTCCATTCAAATGAGCAATATTCCAAGGTGGTTATCTTATTTTTCATGGCGATCAGTTTCTCTTGAGGTAGTTACCCTCCATATGTTATTTTTCCCTGGCTATAAAGAAAAACAAGTTAAATCTGAACATATTAACTTGCCAACTACTCCTGAAGGAACTGGAAACTCTTTCCATGCAATGGCCAGAATTTTGAAAAGAAAGATTTCACTCAATATTTACTTACTTTTGCCAAATAGAGAAATGTATCTACCATTTCCTGCTGCTTCAGAGAGGATTTAAACTGTTTTTCTGCTTCACGATACATTCCTAACCTAAAAACAGTCATTAAAAAAAAATCAGACATTCAACTTAAAAATAAATACTATATCATTTTTCAAACACTGAGGATATAAATAGAGACAAATTCTATCTATATGAGTAAACATATGCCAAAGAAAATAGTGTTGCACACACACATACGTTAACATGAATGTTAACAGAGTTTAGCAAAAAGTTGCCTGTTTCCCATACTCACTGGCTATCTAATTGCCAAATGGTGTGTAAAGAGTCTGTCTGCAGCCTAGTCGCAGCAGGACTAAGAGATGCCAGTAAGCCAGGTCATATCAGTTCACTGCCCAAAGAGCTTATGATCAGATGAACATATGGCAAGTGACCTGAATAAATGCTTAGAGTCTCCATTTTCCTGGAAGAACTGAAAGATGATATTCCTTTGAAAACATCTTCTGCTCTAAGATCAGAGCCCATTTTTCAGTTACCCTGAAACTATTTTAATTCAAGCAATAATTTCTACTTGAGAAATACAGCTACACCATTTTATTATTCTAGTAATCTTTTTTCCCCTTTATTAGGTATTTGACACTGATTGTCCCAGTCTATGAATCTGAGATTTGCTCCTTGTCTAAATGAGACTGTCCTGACACCAGTGGCCACTCCTCTGCCTGGGAAACATGTTATTACCACTAAATCAGCCACTAACACTCACTCAGCTTTCACTCAGCCTGTTATTAACAGAACTACTAAACTTTCTCATAACTACTCATTCTTAGCCACCTAAGAACTTAGAGATGATAATGTTTTATTTTGTGAAATAAAATCAAAATGATGCACAATATATTCCAATGTGCTACTTTCATTCAAAGGCTTGAAAGAAGAGCTTTGATCATTTTTCATAACCTAAACCGTAGGCATTGGTATGGCTGATACCCAAATAGCTGTTGGAAGATGGGATTAAAGGGATTAAAGGTGGCCCCAAAAGGCTAGCCTAAAGTCAGAAGACACGCAATGTGGCAAAAAGCCTCTACCTCTTAAAGGTTCCACAAATTTCACAAAGAGTATGTATAAAATGCAATCAAAGTGCTCTGAATTCTGAAAAACAATGTAATTTAGAATATAACATCAATTGAGCATGCAAGTTCTAATCATGTGACTCAAGTACAGTCATTAAATTCTGTAAGCGCCAGTTATCCATGAGAGTCCACATATTTTTATGAAGATTTTATGATTTTAAAGGATTACAATAAATGATTTAAAGGATTACAATAAAAAGATACATGTAAAACAATAGGAAAACAAATAGATTATTTTTAAGCAATAGAGATAGAAGGATAATCAAATTGAAAAACAAATAAATAGGGAATTAGAAATACTGAACTGCATGGAAACCAAAAAAAGAAAAAATATGGATCATTTTTTCATTACTGCACCCTTAAGAGATAATTTCTACTAGAACTATCAGGAAGTAGTTTATTACATGGATTCTTGTGCAAAAAAAAAAAAAAAAGTGGAGTAGGCCATGCTCAAAGAAAGTCTAGGACTAATAAAAATACCAAGTTCATAAATCAGGCCAATATAAGAAAGTTACAGTCCAAAGAGATAGTTCCTTCCAGGGGTCAACCTCTTCTCTGATTTAATTCAACAAAATTGTCAAGCAACATCTGCATGCACATTTCAGAAAAGAGATGGAAAAATGAAGGAAATAAAACCAGGTTCTTAAAAGTAATGATAATCAAAGAGTAGTGGCAGGGAAACGTTTTTCTAGAAGTTAGTAAACTATGATGTAAGCACACAGGTGGGAAAGTACACAGCATGCTAAGGGAATATTGAGCAGTTTGGTTTAATTGAGAAGGACACAATAATGGGAGTAATGAGAAACAGGGGCACACATGTAGACTGGGACCAAGATCATGATGCCACACTTCAAATTCAGAATTCACTCTAGAAGTAATGGGCAGTTATTCAAGGAATCCAACAAGAGCTGTTTTTTCACAAGAGTTACTCTCACTGGATTTAGGAAGGACAGATGGGGCAAGAGCCTGGAGGTAGACAACCCAGGTAAGAAGCTACAATCAAGCAAATGACACTAAAGGCCAGAATTCAAGCACTTGCATGGGAATGAGTAGTAAGGGGGACTTTGAGAGCTACTGCAAAGGTAGAACCAGTATAGAACTTGATCAGGACAAGGGAGAGAAATCTATTTCAGACTATATACCATAATCTATCCTTGACCTCTCAGCCTGAAGTCAGAGGTCTGACTGGGCTCTCAGTGCATTCTGCATTTGCTTCTCTCATAATAAGAACTATACTTATAACTATTAACTGTCTAAATCATTTGAAAGAAGAAACAATCTAATAAATCTTTGTGACCCCACTTAATGAGAGCAGTTTCTTATTAAATATTTTACCGAGTGAATGAATACCAAATACATAATAAAGATGAGCAAGTATTAAAGAACAGAGAACAATAATTTAATATGACAAGGTGTGCTCATTTAAATGCCAACATGAATGGGAGGCAGAAGAAATCAGAGTTGTGCTTTCCTTTAATTATTAAACATTTCTGAAGGTTCTACTTAGAAGCTCAAGATTTCAAGATTGTCTTTAAGAATTGTATTCATAAGAGTTAAGTGTTTGGAAGGTCTAAATTACCTTTTGGCAGAAAGCACTTCCTCAACTAATAGAAGGAAAAAGCACTTTAGAGTTCTGTGTGAGTTGCCTAAATGGAAAGTAGTCTTAATTTCAATAGCAGAACAATAAATCCTTTTTATTCCCTTTATAGTCTTCTTTTCCCCATAGGTTTTAATGACAACTAAAGATTATAAATATTGCAGGTATTCACAGTAACTGAACTCCACCTTGTTTTTGAACAAAAGAAGACATACTTACCTTTATGAAATACAATTGTTCACCTGTCTCTATTTACCCAAATGCTAATTGAATTTCAATATCAGCAACAAGTGTTAGATTTTATTTATGAATCGCTATGCAAATGTTTCATAAAATTAACTGTGGCTTTTCTGATCTCTCAGTTTGCTTTGAAACATTTGCACATTAAGAGAATGTAAAAATATCCAGGTTATACAGAAACAATATGGAATTGTGGAAATAGAAAATAGTCATCAAAAAGTAGACCAGAAATTTTTGCTCTACCACTTATTAGCTATATGAATTTAAACAAATTTCTCTCTTTGTGAGGCTCAATTTTTCTCATCTGAGAAAATCACTAATTACATCAACTACTCAGAGTGCTGTGAAATTTAAGTGAGATGATATAACATACAAACAAACTCTTAACCACAAAGTGCCTTACAGATGGGAAGCATTAGTATAAATGAAAAGACTTAAGAGCCAAGAGATTAGGACCTGATTCAACAGGCTCAGTTCTAGCCCCAAACTAGTCCCTGATGAAAATCACAGCCACTCTCTGGCCTCAGCTTCCTCATTCAGAAAGGGAAGTTGGATCTGATGATCTCAAAGTCTGCCTCTCTCTGCTGTAGTTCTTATTGCTACTATGTGATTGTTAAGTAAATGCTTTCTCAAGTCAAGTTCTTATTTCTTCATGAGGAAATGTATCCAGAAAGGGGGTGTCAGATTTGACATTCAAAAACATATTGCCACTTCTAATCCTTCACAGATATTCGAAATTTTACCTGCAGTAACATTTCCCAATCTGCACCTTCCACCACCAGTCCTTGTACTGAGAATGCTCTGTGGAAAGGGCAGCCAGATCCAAAGCCTTTGAAAACAATTCATTTTACATTAGAATTTTATTTTCTGACAATAAACAGAAAGATAAATAATGAAATAAACCATATAATTATAAGCAATCAAAACATGCATTAGAAGTCAGACAGTTGCTCATGTTTCCAGATGGCTCCACCAATTTTCCCTAAATAATCAGTTCCAGATCAGAAGGCTAACAGCAGATGAGTTAGAAACACTGATCAAAGGGAAGCAGATGTACAGTATATTGGGATACAATTTGAATATACAAGCCACAAAATTGATACTAAAAACTCCATAAGTTTTTACCCTTTCCCCACTATTTTCTGTCTAATAATTCAAAATGCCTCCAAACATAGTGGCAATCAACACTTTGGTATATCAGACTGGTGCAATCACTGTCTGCAATTTAAAGACAGATGTAGAGAAATAGAGAAAGACCAAGTAAGCGCTAGAAAGTTTGGAGAATGGAATTATGAAGAAGAGTAAAAGGAGTTAATGGGAGTAACCACTACCTTCAATAACCATTATTCCATTATTCTGATATCACCTTAGCTTCTAGCAATTCTAAAGGTCAAACTTCTCTTTGCTGCAAACTGAGGAAGATCTCCTCCTTAACTACCTTCACCGTTTACCTCTGTTTATCCCACATCATTAATGTCCTCTAGATCGGTCTCTTCCACTACTCAAGGTCAGACAAGAGATGACCAAATAAGAATTAGGTTTTTATTCAGATAAAGTGGAAACCATTTTGACCAAGAGGAAACAAAATAGTCTTTATACATATTTATAACTCAGAAGTTGGAAGCCAATGGGCTGGATTTGTAGCTCAGTGGTAGAGCACTTGTCTTGCACTTGTAAGCACAGGGTTCAATACTCAGCACCACATAAAAATAAATAAATAAAATAAAGACACTGTGTCCATGTACAACTAACAAAAAAAATTAAAGAGAAAAATTTGAAGACCATACAAAGATTTTGTGACTAGAAGATGGAGTTATTAAATGAAAACTCTGATTTTTTTAATCTTATTCTCTCAAGGTTGAATTTTTTTATTCTGTAGCTAGTGTTAATATAACAATAATATCCAACAACTCAGTTAAACTTACTCTTAGACTTTCAGTTGTTATCTCAAAATGTTTGCCTTATTACCAAACACTTCTTAATATTAACTCTTTTCTAAAATGAATGCCAGAAGAGTGCCCTCAATCTCCTACTGCAAAATTAATTACTTTTCCATGTGTTCTTTATCTTTTCTTGCTCCAGGGGAGATCTCTAAATATACAAACCACTTACAAAGAAATGTTGTTGACATGCTGAGCCCCTAATGGACTTGAAACAAATCAACACATTCACTTGAAAGCTATGGAAATTAAAAATAAATTACATACTACTTTCATATGCTTATTTTTCTGCCCCTCCCCTAAATAAAAATGAAGGGATAAGTATAACTTCAATTAGCATTATCCTTGGAACTACTAGGAAAATATATTTTAAATCAGTTCAATTCAGTCATGCATTGAATTCTAACTCAATCTTTATAAAGACCTTTTCCATCAAATAGTCATGTTCACTATCATATTTAATATAAACAGAACTTCTATTTTTAGCAAAAGATGTTATTCAAAAAATGTTTACATATCCCAAGGCTGGATTTAGTGCTTGTAACAACAGGCTCCTGATTTTGCATTCAAATATGGTCCTGAAATAAGTCATCTCATGGAAGACCAATGTGTTTGTGCTGATTCAATTAAGCAAAAACATAAATTATTGATTCAGAATAAAAACAGGTTTAAAATTAATTTTAATCATCATACTTCACATGAAAAATCAGGCTGCATTAGAGAAAACATCTGTGGCAATTTCAGATGGACCCTAAGCTCCCTATGGAGAGACACCTTTCTTTTACATCTCTGCTGTGTTTTGGAATGTCACTGTGTTCACAATAGGCACTCAAGAATTATTTGTTGAAAATAGCTTAAGAACCAAACAAAATTGTCATAGTAAAAGATTCATAATTAAAAGCTACTAGCATTAAACTTTTAAAGTGGCAACAGAAGACCTATATTTTTAGAGCCTTTCCCAATTTCTACAAATGATTAACTACATTTACATTTTAAAATATTTGAATAATTTAATAAAACTAATATCTATATGTTAACAAAGGACTAGCCTGTTATTTTTAAGTCATAGGTTTACAAATCTCTAACTGTACAAGGAACCTTGGTAGAGCTAGATGAGGTTTGTGAATATGTGCAACCTGTAAATTTTTAAAAGTCATCCTTTTACTATCAGTATGCTTCTGACAACTTCAGGATGATGAAATTAAAGAGCATATGGAAATAAAGATTTCAGAATCATCAACCCATATGTCATTTTAGATTTGTCAATACGGGCCAATATTGGCCAAAAAGAGAATAGGGAAAGAGAGTAATTAAAAACTCAAAGGCAGAAATACATTTTTTTATTTTACTCTTTATTAATATTTAAATACCACTTTGAGGATTCTCTATAGATATATATAGCATTCTCCCTGTATGTGTTTAGATAAATACAGAATCACCAAAACACATGTCACTTTAGTTTTGTCCATAGTGCCCCTGCCAAATAAGAAAGTACCAAGGGCTCAAGACAAATTTAGGTTTGATTAAAGATCAAAGATTTTATTAATAAAGGTTATTATTTATTATATTTCAATATCACTTCACAGTATTATTTATATATATCTATAATGATGAATGTGAAATACTTTATTTAAAAAAATAGAGGCTATCCAAAGTAACAAACATAAAAGCACTCCTGATTTCTTAAGCACATTAAGAAAAAAAATTCCTTTTTCTTTTTCCAGTTCATGTTGCAAAATACATGGGGGGAAAGCATGCTTTGTGCTCATTATCTAAATCCTTCTTCCATTCAGAAAATAACATTTGTGGTAAAATCTAAAAATGACATTTTAATGGAACAAGCTGATCCACAAGAGCACTATAATGTGGCAAGCCAGTGAGAGAGTAAGAGAACAGCCACAGGCATTGGTCCTGCTCAGAACTCCCAGCACCAGTCATAGGATCAACTAGTAGGCACTCAGTAATTATTTGTTTAAAGAATAAGTCAATTAGTTAATAACTCAGTAAATGAATTGTGAATAAAAAGGAAAACAGAGGAATCAACAGTTTGTGCTTTTCACTAAGAAAAAACAAAACAAATTGTTTCATTAGATGTGCCATGATATAGTTACTAGGGGAAAGAAGATAAAAACAATTATTTTAATTTATTCTTGTCCCTTATTTATAGTTTAATTTATGTATAAAAAGTTATAACATTATTGTTAAATTTGGGAGGGGGAAAAAAGATAAAATTAGACTCACTCTCCCTTAGTGTCATAAGGAGCAGCTATTTCCTTCACTATTGTCATCAAGGTGCTGATGCAATTCGGGAATGTGACAAATATTTGAGGTATGAATATATCTTAATCTAATAGTACCACTATTTTCATTTTAAAGTATATATATATGTGTGTATGTCTATATATATATGTATATATATATGTACATATTGGTAAGTTTATATAATTCATATCAGTATGTATTTATATATACACATATGTGTGTGTGTGTATCAGTAAGTGTTTTTACTTTGCAGTTGTTTCACAAATCCAACTTAGTCTATGAAATATTCTATTGTTTGGTAGTTTAAAATTTTTCACTTCCTTACTTATCAAATGTCTAAAACGAATTCTCTACACAAATTTTCTTAATATTGTCATTTAATGAATTATAGAGAGCTATCACAAAAAAAGGTCAAAAATTGTGTTTGGCACTGCTTGTTTCTAATATACTGAGTCCTTCATTATTTCTAAAAATAAAAATAAAAAATTATAAATGGAAATTTCCAGTTCACAGTAGTATTTTGTACCATTTCTTTGTTACTTAGATATACTTGAAGGCATTATTGTTGCTTCTTTTCTATTAATTCGCTGATTTCTTTCATTGGGCTGGACACGCCTCCTCTTGTTATGTGGAACTTTGGCCTTCAAGGTCTGCTAAGCCTCCTTGTTGTAGGACCCCCACTACATCCTCAGCTCCATTTTCCTACATTAGAAGAAATACTTTCTAATGTTTCTATAGTTTTTAAATTGTACTCTATAGCAAGTAGTTCCTAATCTTGACTGAAAGTTATTACTGCCAATGGAGTTCTTAATAACAACAGATTCACCAGATGTCCCCATGGGGATTCTGATTCAGGAAGTCTAACATAGAGACAGAAACCCATTATTTTAAAATTCTCCAGTTACTTCAGACAATGAGCCTTATTTAGCATAACAGGCCTAAGGTTTGAAGGGCTCTTGGGATAGATGGGGCAAGAGGAACCCAGTAAGTAAGTTCTAGTTGCCACACTTGAAGCACCACTTGTGTCTGCTTTAAATATTGGGATGTGTATAAAACTTCATTTGATTAAAAACAATTTGCTGCTTACATAAAAAGTTTGAAAGTCACTGCTCTCTTTGTTTAAGGTCAAATTTTTAAAAATCAATATTTATGAAGTTCTATAAATACATTCTATAATACTATTCACATAACACATAAAGGTAAAATTTTTCTAGTCCTTAGATTGTTTAGAATATAAATTCAGATGGAGCTCAATGATAGAGCACTTAGCTAACAAGCACAAGGCTCTGGGTTAGATCCCCAGCACTGCAAAAATAGTATACACACACACACACACACACACACACACACACATATATGTATGTGCATATAAATACATATATATGCATACACACACACACACACACACACATACACACACTCATACAAATTTGGTACTACAGGGCATAAATGCTATTTTTGTTTTGATTGAGGTTTTCTTTTGTTTTCTGGTGCCAGGGATTGAGCCCAGGGCCTCATTCATGTTAAGCACATGCTCAACCACTGAACTATACTCCAGTCCTCTGTTTTTCTGAATGTGACTCCTATTCCTCCACAAGAGGTAGGAAATATCCTCAGGATGACTTTACTAATGACCACACCATCGCCATGGCCTATGACCTACAGTTTCAGCACTCATCATCTGCAGCACTTTCTCCTTTCAGGCCTTGCTTCAGGCACACTGCCTCCTTGCTCTGCCTTAAGCAATCCAAGCAAGCTCCTCCCAGGACCTTTGCAGGGAAAGTTCTCCCTGACGAAAATGCTCTTACTACACATAGATGCAGAGCTCCCATCTTCCCTTCTCCAGGTCTCGTTTTCAGTGCTTTCAGTGGACTTCACTGACCACCTCTACTCCATCCCAAACAGCACCATTCCTCACGTCAGTAACTATTCCCTCACATGCTTTCCTGCTTTTTTGTTGTTGTTATTGTATTTATTACCACAAGTCACATTACATATTTTTGAATTTGCTTTTTCTATTCCTTGCCCAACCAGCATATAATATCCAAAAGAATCAATATTTTGCCTGCCTGCCCCTCTGTGTGATCTTAGATCTGGAATAGAGGCTAGCACACTCTTGTTGCTCCATTACAATAAATAATGAATTAATTTTCAAAAAAAATAGTGTATATACCTTTATAAAAATCTAGTAATTAGAGATTTACTCATTTATGAAATGCAATCATATTAGAACATTTCCTTTGAAGACAGTACCTCTTATATGATGCATGATTTCATACATCATCACACTGAAATCCTCTAACAGCTTTATTAAGAGCAATGTGCATGGTTTCTCAGTTGCCCCTACCTTACTTTTCCCTTTTCCCTGTGACTACATCTATGAACATTTCATCCTACTAACTCCTATACTAAACCTGGCCCAGGTTCTCACCTACATTTTAGTACCACATCTCTCGACCCGTGCAATAGTGTCACCACTTATCAAAATATCTTTAAGTGAATTACTGAACTTCTTCACAAACTGACCACGTCCCCTAATTATCCCACTTCAATTAGTAAAACCATCATTCTTATAACATCTTTAGGTAGCAGACTTGAACTGTATCTCTGCTTTGTCCCCAATATTAAACCTATCATCAAGTATTCTCTCTTCTTTCTTTGAAATGTCTGTTTGGTGCTCTCATTTTTTAGGATAATAAGGCCTATTTATTTTTCATTCCAGTTTCTTCTAGTTTTTGCCATTTCTTTACATTTCTTTTCCTCTCTTTCCATAAAATTCCACTTAGTTTGTGGATCTTCCCTAATATCACCCCTTCTGAATTTTTCCCTTTGATACTTGGTAACAATTTCAATTTGGAAATTGCTTCTTTAATTGTTTCATTTACATCAATTTTACTTTCTCAGCTAGATTGCCTGTCTTACAGAGGAAAGATAAAGTATCATATTTTAATTAGTTCTCCTACTGTAGTATGGCATCATGGTTGACACACAGAAAATGCAATTAAGGAAAACATTTTTATTTTCCTTAATATTTAACATATGAATATAAAAACTTTTTTTCCCTGAACTAAAAGGAAAATGCAGAAAAATACTACCAGATAGTGAAGAATTAACTTCATCTAACTTCAAGAAATTCATAAGGTTTCTATCATTTATATAATTTCATATAAAATTTTAAATAAATTTGAAAAGTTGTATGCATATAACCTCAAAATTCTTTGTTGAGAAGCTACCAAGATGATTAACAATTGCTGAAATTGGATGATGGGTGATAAGGGATTTTTATACTATTCTTTCTACTTTGGAATGTTTAAAATCTTCAATCATAAAATGTTAAAGGTGAGAGAGAGGGGCACACTATAAAGAAATCAAAAATATACATATTAGTAAACCAATAATACACTATACAGAATAACAAGAAATGGATCAACAGTGCTGACTATTTGTGTAAAGAATAAACTTTAACACAAGCATGCTATGCTGTATTCGCAATTATCTATGTCTGGCCCTTTAGAAAAGAGCTACATTATCTATGAACCAGGCACAGTTCTTACCACTTTTATATTTATACAAATGTTCCCACTGAAACTTAAGACTGGATTTGAAAGTATTAGTTACTCTCCAATATTTAATAATCTCATTTTTTAAAGAAAAGAAATGAACATTTCAGAGTCTAAAACTCAAAGTCAGAAAAACTACAATAAAATAAAATAGCATGAATTCACGACTTACAGTCTTAACATCATTTTCATGATGAAAGATATATTCAAACAAATCCTATAGAGAAAAAAATGACAAAAACACATTAGATTGTATTTAAATAAAAGCACTCTTTGGTTATAACAAAACTCAAATATAGATTGAACCAAAAATCCAGAACACTCTAAAGTGCCTGGGATTTATAAGTAAAGGATCTAGCCATCATTTGTTAGAATCTCCCATTTTACAAGTTTTCTATTTGCAAGTGATTCCTGTTCCTACAGACTACAAACTAGAAAAAGCTCAAAGAATTGATCTTTTTTTCTTGCATATTTCACATACTATTTTATGAGAAAGATACAAATGAAAAGTTCATTTTATTTCTTAGACTAAAGTTAGGATTGCAATAAAACAGTTTTTTATACTCTCTATCTTATGTAGTGATTGTGACTAGATAATGGCAATTTAGAGATGGAAAATCTGGAAGTTCCTTCTGAAACAAAGTAGAAATGAGTGCAAAGTAAGGGCTTTTTCAAATTAATTTTTAAAACTATACTTACATGGCATTTATAGTAACTGTGTGACTCAAAACACTCAGTTTCTTTAACAGAGGGCTACTCAGCCTAACTGCACACTGGAATTACATGGGGGTCCCAGAGCAGACCAATTCACTCAAACTCTGGGAGGTCCATATAGCCACTATTTTATACTTGCAAGGAGACTAGTGCCCCTGAGAGATATCAAGGTTATTAATAGAAAAGACCTGGAGGCCAATAAAAAGAAAGAAAGAAATTAGGACAAGGCCCTTCTAAAAAAAAAAAAAATCATAACAATCCTTGCATTTGTTCTGTTACAAATACAAACAAAAATTAAGAGTGTAGTTGATACTACCACGGTCATGAAAAGAAGGTTACAACTCTCAAGACTGTCAAAGCATCACTGTAGATATCCCAAGAAATGCACTAATATTAGAAAGGAGTCCTGATGAGCCAAGGCAAGTTGGGGACCAAAAACAGAAAAATGTGGCATTATTTCTGTGATACACTAAAAAAAAAGCACAAAGTCTAGTTCAGGTTGAATTTAGCACTTAGGCCAGGTCTAGCCCGCATGCATCTTAATTTAATTGTGGGAAATGCCTCCAGTGACTGTACTAGCTAGCCAGTCACCTCAAGCAAATGGATGAACAAGGTAGGGAAATAGATATTCTACATGATATGTTTTTAATACTCTACCCTCATTAAGGAGAGGAAAATAAGTAAAGCTTTACCATTCTGCCAAATGCAGTTGACTAGACTGCCATCCAACAAGAATTGAAGAAAAAAATCATGAGACTTTATATTATAGGTTGATTACCTGTCTACCTGTCTACCAAAGGCATTTCTTTTTAGAATAGAAACTTCAAATCTATACAATTAGTGTCCATTTTTATTTACCCAAGGACATTTGATACTTGGGAAATATGTTCAACACCCTCAGAACTGGGATCAGGAATGAGTGCATCACTGCACACAGGGTTCAGAGACTTCAAGCTAAAAACTGGGCCAGGCATCAAGCACTCCTGTCTCCAAATTATTCCAAGCCCAACCCCAAATGTTTTACACTGGAAAGTCACACACATTTTCACTTTCTTTTTCTTTTTCATTTTTTTTCTTTTTTCTCTTTCTCTCTCCTTTACACTCCCCTCTCCCTCCCACTCTTACCTTCTATCCCTCTTCTAATTTTCTTTTTAAAGGAATATTTTATCTCTGAGTAATTAGAATTACCAACACAGTTGAGTTGCCCACTGTCTGGCTTGACTAATCTTTATTGATATGCCTGATTCATTGTTAATTAAAAGTACATATTTGTATTATCCTTTTTGAAAGCCTTATAATCCTACAAAGAGAAAATTATTTTTCTGAGAATGGTCCAAAATGTAACATACACACACACACACACTCACATACACACACACACACACACACACACACACACACAAATTCTAAGCTTCATCCTATGATGAAATACTGCTTATCTGCTTTCTTTGTTAAAAATTACTGTTCTTTATTATTTGGAAAAAAAAGAATTTTCTATAATAATGGTATATTTTTTTCTGGTTGACTTTCCTTAAGACTGAGAGAATTTTTACATATTATAGTAATTGAACATTTCTATTTCAATCAAATTGTGGCCTTTCCTTCACAAATTTTTATCTATTTCCTACACTGTCATTATCATCATACTTCTAACATTATCTTATAATTTACAATCATTTTAAGTACATACCTTTGCCAATTTAGGTTTCTGGGAATATTTTGTTAAATTCAGTCTAGATAAATTTATAAAAGGTCCATCAGGACTTGTAAGCATGGAAGCCTATGAGGGAGGGAAAAAAAAATGATAGAAGAAGAAAATCTGAAATCTTTTCTTGAAATAAAAATTGACTTTAACATGCATAAAAATTATAAAGGCAACATAAGCACAAAGAATCCCTTCAAAATTTCCATACAATTGTTTTGTAAGAATAGTAGAAAATAATATAATAAAGTTACTTAGGTTATACTATGGGAAAGCTGACAGAACTTACTGTCCCCAGCCTGATGTATCTTCCAGATGAGCTGGTGATGGGACGTGCTGTATAGACAGTTCTGGGTGTTCTGATGGCCTGTTCCATGGTACCAGGCCTTCCACTCTGTGTGTTGGGCCTAAGGAAACCTGTAATGGGCCTTCCAGCTTGAGTAATTGGCCTGTAAAAATTGTAAGTTATTAAAATACAAAGATGATTGATTAAGGAAAGACTCTCAAATAGTATAGTCAATCATTAGTGGCAGAGGGTATGACACAGAAGTACATACCTGACAGCTTGACTAGGCCCTCCTGTCTGATTAGTTCTAGGGAGTTTCAAAGATGTTCCAGGGCCTAGGGAATGAGATGGCAAATTCAATTTATATATTATCTATTAATCTATAAAAACTGTCAGCTAATCTAATTTTCAGAATTGTGCTGTCCTGGTGAAAAAAGACATTATTGGCAGAAAACGTATTTTAGAGAAATGAGTTTGAGATTAATATCCAATGAGTATCTTTCGTATTACTTATGCTATCACAGTAACTCTTCACAATAAGTCTGTAAGGTAAGTAGTACGAATCCATCCATTCAATAAAGGTTGACAGAATTAAGTAAACAGGTCAACCCATTAGTAGAGCCTGGATTAAAATTCAAGACTAGCAGGCTCCAAAGTTCAAAATGATGGTCCTATACTCACAGGTTAATTATCTTTCATACAAACGTCTCTCAGTAAAAGATCGTTTACCAACCACATCTAGAATTTAGGTATTTTAAGTCTAAAATATTAAAGTAATGGGGAAGAAAGACATTTTAACATGAAACATGTTTTTTTCTTCCCCAACTTCCTTTTGGAGCTTTAAAATAGTTCTTATCTTGTAAATTATAACTGTGAACTGTAACAACTAGTAAATTACCAGCAAGACCACCATAGTCATGGTAATTATCCAATACCATTTGCACTACTTACACCTGCAAGCTAGGGACTGGGCCCTGTGACAATTCCAAAAGACATTTACTGCCCAACAAACATATAATCTCATCAATCACATCATGTATCAGAGCAAATCATCTTTCATTATAACAAAGAAGTGATGCTTTTAAGTGATTGTTTTCAAAAAAAATTATTTTAGAACACTTCTGTTATTTGGAAGCTTAGATTCCCAGATAAACAATCTTCTGATATGTTGATAAACATTTTAAGGAGAACATATTTTATAACATCTTAAATGCATAAAATAGCTTTTACTGGAAAATTATTATACATCAATCTTACACCTTAAGATATAATATAACTGAATAGTGGAAGGAAAGCCTTTGTTTTATAAGATAGAACAGAAACCCTGTACTTAATTTTTTCATACACACACATATATGCTTCATGTATACAATGTTTATATACAGACAGGTTGACATAAAGCATAGAAATATGTATGCATGTCATCCTGTATATATGTAATATTCCTCCTAATAGCGTTCCATTAATTTGACCAGAGAACCAATACTTACGGGGAACTCGGGCAATAGCATTTTCATCCAGAAGCATTTCTGCAATTCCTTCCCGATCTATATCAATTTCATCTATGTATACCATTTCAGTTAAGGCTCGTGCTTTTAAAATCCAAGCTGCCTAAAAACCATGGAAAAATAAAATATGGATTAAAATAGCATTAGAAATACTAGATAGCTTACAGAAGCTAGCCATGATTTAGTACTATTTTACTTTTTATTGAACATGTTTACCATTTAACACATTATGCTAATTTAAAGGGCTATATCAAAAAACTAATGAAAGAAGGCAAGGTCATTATTAACCAAGAAACCACTAGTATGTCAATTAACTCACAAATAGTCTCCTAACATTTCTTTTTATAAGTAAAGAAAGATCCTTAAAAAAGTTTTATAGAATAATAACTTGAGTGCAAATTAATAAAGCTACAACCACTGTGCTCTTTCTGCCTTCCTCTTTCAAGGCCAAGACTTTCCTGAAGCCTTCCCTAATTCTACAACTTAAACCCATAGTCCTCTTGTCTTTCTCAAAATCTTCTCTGAACACCTCTAGTCTGGTGAATGTATATTTGACTACAATTATCTGGGCATATGCCTATCCTTTTTTATATTCTCAGAATGCAAGTTTTTTTACCTTTTCACTTCTGAGTTTTCCATAGTACCTATCCCATGGTTTTTGTATACAATAGGTATTCGAGAAATATTGGTTTGAATTAAGCCAAGATCAATTTCTCTTGATTCCTAATAACTAATCAACCCTGGTAATTTTGTAATCTAGTCAGCAGAAAACCTGCTAGTGTGGGGGTGAATACATGGAAAAGATAATTAAGGAATCTGACCTAGAAAATATCTTATCTGCTCTGCATTAGTTTGAGAAATTCAGTTCCCATTAAACATACAAAACTGCTTTACCAGAAACCATACCTTCTTGCTTCACTAGAGAACTAGTAAAAGATAAGGTAGGTGTCCCATGGAGAACTCCCAAAGGAAGAAGGCAACTCTTGAAGCTGCAGCACAGACCTGACTCTAGAATCTAGTGAGAGCAGCAGCAAGGGACATTTGGGAAGGGATGAGGGCTAAATATTCTAGGGATCTGGCTGTGAAGGAGGGTGAATGAAGGCAAAGGAGCCAAGATAGGAACAGTTGAGAGCTACAGAAGGTCCAAAAAATCCTTGCATAAAAAACCCAACATGGATCCTAATTTTCCTGAACGTATCATCTAGTGGATTGAATGGCAGAGCAAAGCAGTACTTGACAGTGCCAAATGTGTGTTAGAGGAAACAGATTTTACAGAAATTGGAGAATGGAGACCCTTGTGAACTAAAGTTATGTGAATACACATATGAACATTTTATAAAAGAAAATAAAAATGCTATGCTTTCATTTTAATGGGAATAAAAAAGGCTGTCTTCACAATACATTTCAGTTCCTAAAGTTAAATTACATTTGATTAGATGACTGACTTGGGGGGTTATGCTTTTCTGGATGTGATTTGCTGATTATCAAATAACTTTTAACAAAATGTGGCAAATGTTTTGTGTGAATTTTATACAATTGAATAAATAGAACATGGACTCAAAGAACCAATTTGTTCTTTTAAAAATCAATTCCAATTGGAACTGCCTCTAGCTGTGTGAGCCACCAAAGATGAAAATGATCTGAGGTTTTCACTCATAAAAGATCAGGAAAAATGCCAGATCTTATATAGTTATTCCCAGAGGCCAGGGAAGTCATCACTGGCTTGAACTAATGGTTTAATTTTACTTCAAAGATGGAAATAAGCCATTCTGATTTATCTTAAAACTCCACAGTAGCTGCCCTGAAAATATCTGATACCTTAAAATTTTCAAAAGGATGTCCTTTGCTCAGGACTCTAGTGGACAGGAAGAAGGACTGCAATACTTTCTGTTGAAACAATAAAGCAGGACATGGACTCTGCTGGTTTTCATGAATACCTACTTTAGGGCCACGTCTGGGAATACAAAGAAGTCATAGTTCTAGTTTTAGCTCCAAAGAATTCCAGTGTAATGGGAAGATGCAATAATAAAAATAAAAACTAAAAAGAAATATACCATGGAAGGAGAGAGGAAAGACTCCTAGTGGCCTGAAGGCAGACAGAAGTGTATAAGAGGAAGAGTGTGGAGCTGTGGCCAGGAAAAGAAGCCAGGAGGTCAAAGGCAGGCTAGTTCGGGAGCTAATGTGTTTGCAGACTCTTCAAGAATAGAGTATGGTTGAAGAATCAGGCTGCACAAAAGGAACAGTCAGGGAACAAGGCTGGAGCAAAAAGCAGAGGCCAGATGATGACTGTATGGCACATCAAGCTATAGGGTTTTCTATCCTGATGAGGAGGTAATGAAGCTCTCAAACTATGATTTAGAATCCTAGTTAAATCAGCTCTTTAAAAGCCAAGTTTTTATAATTAGGTATCATTTATACAGTCAGTTATTAGTCACCCAAGCACATACTTTATTTTGAACTATTTTAATGTTTGCACTGTTATCTCATAGTCTATTCTACCATACTTCTTACATCCACGCCCCTGCTAATCTCTTAATATTCAAGAGATGCACATTTTTATATTAAGCTAAAAGTGAATAATAGAAAAGCAAATCCACTATTCCTTCCCCATCAAATGAATAAATACTTTAGAATTCAAACAAAAACATCTTATTCTATTCTCAGAGTTCTATTCACTTTTTCAAAAACAAAATAGATTTATATTTGTTTCAATTTTTAAAATCTAATTCTTAAGAAATGGATCTAATAATGTGAATTTTTTTAATTTAAAGATCTGTAATAAATCTTTAAAATTTTATCAGTTTGAGAAAAACTAATCTTCCTGATTATTCTTCTGTCCTACCAAAAACTGACCTCAAAAATCACATATCACTGCTTGATTAAATATCAAGACTACATTCAAAGAACTAAAGCCTGGCAATATGAACTATTCTTGAGGTTTTAATAAAAACAGCAGATGGGGCTTTAGCTTTAAAAAATAATAATTTTTTTTTATGTTGGAAATAAGCCAAGTATGTTTTACAGCCCCAAATCCTCTGCCTGTTTTTTTTTTAAAGAATAATAAAGCACGGGGGCTGGGGATGTGGCTCAAGCGGTAGCGCACTCGCCTAACATGTGTGCGGCCCGGGTTCAATCCTCAGCACCACATACAAAAGAAGATGTTGTGTCCGCCGAGAACTAAGAAAAAAATAAATAAATGTTAAAATTCTAAAAAAAAAAAGAATAATAAAGCACACACAGTAATCTCAAATTGCCCCTTGAATCTGAATAAAACTATACATTTCTTTTATTAGCTATGCTTAAAACATTAATAAATGGTAGCATCATGCAACTAAAAATAGTTGCATATTTATGTTCTAGAAATATTAAAAAATCAAAAGTTTCTCCCAATCTACATGAATAATCATCATATCAATTATTTCCCTTATGTCTGTAAAAAACAATCCCATTTCATTTACCTACTGAGCTAAGTCTCTAGGACATTACTTTTTTTTTTTTTTTAGAGAGAGAGAGAATTTTTTAATATTTATTTTTTAGTTTTTGGTGGACACAACATCTTTTTTTTATTTTTATGTGGTGCTGAGGATCAAACCCAGCGCCCCACACATGCCAGGTGAGCGCATTACCGCTTGAGCCACATCCCCAGCCCCAAGGACATTATTCTTGAGGCATATTCCTGCCAGCTAACATCAGGAAATATATTAACTTACTGGTTCTATCTATTGTGAGGGTAATCATATTTTTTTTTAAATATTTTTTAGTTGTTGATGGACCTTTGTTTTATTTATTTATATGCGGTGCTGAGAACCAAACCCAGTGCCTCACACATGCTAGGCAAGCACTCTTCCATGGAGCTACAACTCCAGCCCCCGGTAATCAGATTTTAGTTATGAAAATAAACATGAGGAGGTCGAAACTACTGGCTGAGCAAATGCTTTATTCTGTTTCTTTTTATACAGCATACAAGACAGGGAGTTTTAAGGTATGTAAGAGATAATTTTGATAGATTATTATTAAATAAGTATATGAAACGAATATTATCTCTGATCTATTCAGAGATCATATAAATCAGTAGTAATATTTTACACTCTACTTACTCTATGCAAACAAAACTTTAGGCACAAGATTTTGAAGTGATATTGTAAAGCCTCATTTCTTTTCAAGTTGTAAACATGTGCAAAAAAGAAAAAGCATTTTAAGTGTGAATAGTAAGGTCAAAAAAATCCAGCCAGCCTTGTTCCCTTTTAGATCATTATCCAGTGGATAATTAAGTCTACAGGAAAAGACCAGGAAGAGAAATTTAGGTGCTACATGAAGCCTATGTGCCACTTAGAAACTTTTAAATGCCATTTACAGTGTTCCAGTCATACCTACAATGCATATTGTTGGTGTTTCAATTTAATTTTAATCAAAATCTTACAAAATTACTGAAGACAAAAACTTTGTCTTTTCATAATTTAGATCCTTCTTGAATAACTTGTATCATGGAAAAAAAAAAAAACAAGTTTCTCCCAAGCATCAGTTTGTAAACCAAGATTATGAACATACAAAAGACAAATGTCATCCTTTCAAAGAACATAGTGCTACATTTAAACCTACTTAACCTACTTAACAGTGTTTAGTACTATACAAACCTCCATGAGAGTACTTTGTATATTTGCTGTTCTAAAAGGCTTGGTCATTACTCATGTGAACTTCAGATGAGGCTCAAATCCCTTATTTACTTCTAACACACTGGGAGCATTCTCTCTCACTTGGCAGAGCAAACACCTGGCAACATTTAAGCTCTCTGATTCGAAGCTCTTTTCCTTTTTCCCAGACTCACTGGGAACCCACGTGGATAAGAGCATGGATTGGCAGGGGGCCCCACACCAGACTTCTTTTCCCAAAGTTGCCTCCTGATTCCCTGTCTTGTCCAGTTAGCAGGTCTCTCTGGCTAAATCTAACCACGTTGGTTTGGTCAACTTGGCTGTCTGACCATTGTCCCTTCCTTCCTTTCTCACTGTGGCAGCTTCCTCCCTCCTAGAGCCATCAGGGCAGTTAAAACTCAGACCTTCCAGGCAGAGCTGGCCCACTCTCTTTAAGACCTACTGTCCTAACCAT